AACCCTAACCCTAACCCTAACCCTAACCCTAACCCTAACCCTAACCCTAACCCTAACCCTAACCCTAACCCTAACCCTAACCCTAACCCTAACCCTAACCCTAACCCTAACCCTAACCCTAGTAAGTGCTGCAAAATTTGAATGAATTTCAGCATGCTATGCTGCTTGTACAATGTGAGATTCACATAACTCCTTTCAGAGTTCACTTCCATTATTGAGTGCAGGTTAAAAACAGGGTTCCGTTTAGGATTGGTGCTCAAAAACCCTGGCCAAAGAAGCCGAAGGCCTAAATAGGGGTCGTCGCGTGTGAGACGCGTCCCCAAGGGCCCTCATCATGACTGGCTTGTCTTCCCTCTTGCGACTGTCATGGGTAACTGGTTCTCAAAGGTAAGATTGATCTCTCATCGTACTATGCAGGATACTCATTGAACTCACAGAAATCAGACAATTATGAAAATGTCTTGTCAAAGTTGGCGGAGTCGATTGACAAGAAGAAGGCACAACTGGCGGACATTCGGCTGCGGGAACGACGAATGACACTCCTCTTTACGCTCTACTCGCTATTCACCTGGGTTGCATACACAACTCTATGGTATTTGGAGCTGCTTCCGCGTGCTTGGGCACGAACGCAGGCAGTGAAGGTTCTGAGCGCACTGCCAGTGGGGTTCGTGCCAGTCAGGTACTTGATGTATTCTCTCGTCACATCAATGTTATCACTGATTGTGACAGCGTACTGTCCATTCGACGCCTCGTGCACGCGTTCTACTCTTGGAGAGCATCATATGAAGGTTTGTGATTTTAGCAGTTTCGTTCTCTTCTCCTCTAATTATGCGACAGAGATTGCTTTAAAAAAGCTGCTGGGAGAGCAGAAAGCAAAGATAGAGGAGATTAAGAAGAAAACGAACTATGACTCGACTCGTAGTCTTCTAGAAAAATATGGAGAAACAAGCGCTAGAGTGCGTTCATGTCCTTTCCCGCAACCGAGGCGGTTTGCTTATTCTTTATTGTAGCCAGTCCAGCCTTCCGCCCTTCGACAACGTGGTCCTAGTCCGATAGTGGGCAGTCAGCCGAGTACCCCTTTAAGACATGATGACCCTCCAGCAACTGGGAATCCATCTGGTATGGTCATACCACGGCCCTTGCCACCTTACTTCCAGCCTTCTCCCGCAAGCCTTCCACCCCAAACACGAAAGTGGTATGATACCTTGGCCGACGCTCTGCTGGGGCCAGACGAACAGGTCGCATCTCGGGAGAAATATGCGTTGATCTGTGCTAGGTGCTTCACTCATAATGGTCTCATTACACCCTCTGAGTGGGAAGACGTCCGTGAGTGTTTGGATGTATATTCATTACTTGCGGTCTGATGCGATGACCAGAATATACATGTCCGAAGTGCGGGTATTTCAACCCTTCCCGTTATTCTTTGAGAAGAACCGACTCTCCTACTGTGTCCGAGAGCCCACCGCCTGCTGTTGCATCGGGTGGTGCGACTTTGCTCGACACCCCGGGCGCGCCAACTGTCGGCAGGATTGACAACTTTCACCCAGTTACGCCACCTTCAACGGATGTACAAGAGGCACGAACAGCCACGGATACAGACAAGCAATCCACGGACGAGACGATGATGGATGTGGATACTCCGACTGTGCCATGACTTGGCTCAGACTGTCGATGGGACCACCCTATACAGTCCACCGAGTTTATATACTTCCTCTTTAAGGATGCTTCAGAAGACAATGATCAATAGCGAAACGCTCGAACGCTCGAACATTATCCTTGCTTGATTGCAGTGCTATCTAATATGTATGATGTTATCTGAACTTCAGAACAGGTGCGTCCCTAAACGAAATGTGCGACAACCCCAAACATTCCCAGTAAAACAGCGACAATAGCGTTCTGCGCGTAGGCTGACGTTGCAGCTGACGTCGCCGTACTGCCTGAAGAGCCAGAAGATGGCAAGTTGTTGCCAGTGCTTCCACCGTTACCACCGCCAGTTCCACTACCAGCGGTTCCGCCCGTGGTTGAGTTAGTGCCATTTCCACCTGTGCTGCCGGATGAAGTTGTCGCGTTGCTCCACACACGAACGTATTGGATCTCAAAATAAGCCTGCGCATAATTAGACCCATCGCCCGCCACATAGGTTGTGTAGCAGTAGCTCGAAGGTGCATTCGCTGGAACACCGGGACAAGTGGCATCAAGCGTTTGAGGGACACCAGCCCTGGCAGTCGTTAGTGTATTGAATGACGACAACCAGAACATATCTCCCACCAAGCACCGCTATTGGGATTGTCAGTGCTATTTTGAATGTTCAAATGAGAGCGCACCAGAGGGTAATATCGATAATAATGTGCTGGGGCTCAAGGAACATAGATGTGGGGCAGGTCGATGAGAGGTAGGCAGCGGACGGGGTGGGCCAGTTATCAGGATTGGGGAAAGTATTGGGATTAGAGATATCAAGGTCACTGGGAATGCTTCCACGCTGCAATGAATGTGTGAGTGATACGGCGAGCATCGCGATCGGAAGCATACGGGGAAGAACCAAATGCTTTTCACAAGCATTCACATAAGCAGCTGGTCAGAGGCTGGGTGGGTGATGCACTTACTACGTCCCGGATTCCACCAGCAGAGTAGCATATACGCCTCCACCACCAGCAGCGAACGCAGCACCATAGCTTGCCGTGTTTGGCTCGGTAACCGTGCAACCCTGCGTTTTGGTGGGTAAGTCCGTACCACAGTCAGGATCAGTGACGGTGCCCGTCATGTTAGCGCTGGAAGACGCCATGCACCTGCTCTGCGTGTCAGTCAACATCCCAATGGGCGGGGAGGGTCAATGTACCCATCCTGGGTGTGTAATGCCATCTGATTTGAGGAGGCCATGTTGATTTGCTCCATTGTATCAATTTCTGGAATTCTGTGTCAGATGAAACTGACGGCGTCAATGCTCGAATATGGGCTAACCCCCTGTCAGTGACTGTTAGAGGGATGGCGCCCGATCAACCCGGAACTTGCCTCCTTCCGGCCATTTGGTCGCCTGAGACCAAAAAGCTGGCCTATCCATTTTTTAGTTAAGGCCGCTGAAATCATGCGTTCACAACACACCACACGGAGCACCCGTAAGGAAGATGGAGCGCGTCCATTACCCACAGACTACCCAGACCGTACGTCTCGACGCTGGAGATACGAACAGTATTCCTTTTGTTCGGCTGAGCGACAGTGGAGATATTGTCTACACGGACAATCGCGTTCCCAGCCGCGTTGACATAAGTGAGCTCGGGTTCAGCGGTTGCTACTGCCTGCGTCACGAAACTGCTGCTTTCAGCCGGGGAGAAGGGTTTGTAAGCTGGCGATTAGGCCTCACTTAACATCACCCAAAGTCAGATTCTGCAGTCACATTATTATTGCAAACGATGAAAGGAGAGCAGCAGAGGCGTACATCCCAGGAGCCGTAGTAGCTCCAGTTGTTGTCGAAGAAAGTTGTGCCTTGCCAGTTTTGAACGATATTGAAGCCGGCGGCGCGAACGAGTGGGAGGGTTGCAGCAAATGCTACACAAGCAAGATTATGCTTCATGGTATAGACAAGCAGAGTGATATCCGTCAAAAATAAGCAACACAGTGGTTTAACGACAACTTTGCATCAGAGCAGATACGCCCAAATTTCGAAACACGACCCTGCCTTGTGTTCGGAATGAAGGACCGCATGGTATTGTCCGACATGACCGGACGAAGATAAATTACGCCCATGACCATGACACAGATCTAGCCGATCCCTTGTTCCTAAGAATATTGTTAATACACCAGGCTGTGTGTAGCTTTCTCTTACTCTCTGTGCGCTTACTTGTTGAAATCGGGTCTCGTGCCGTTCATCAGAAGGTCTGCAGAGCCAACTTGGTGGAAGACATCTCGGCGGAATATTCATGTCAACGACTCGGCCAGCAGAACACAAGATTGCATGACTGTACTATCGGTTGAATGAATTCTGCACTATAAGAACTGTGGTATGATCCTAGAGAATATATGAAAGAAGGGAAAGAATACAACCACCCATTATGGGAAGCGCACGGAAGTGGAGATCGTGAGATTATGGGTCCGGCTGTCCAGAGTTGTAATGTAAACCCGGTTCCATCTATACGAGAAGCGCGAGAGCACCGATCATTCCCAAAAAGGCCGCCGCCAGAGCAGCCCCCTGCGTCAGGAGAGGGACGGCAGACGACTTTCCGGTGCCCCCGCTCGATCCGGACGAAGAGCCCCCGGAACTCCCGCCAGAACCGCCGGTCGAGCTGTTGCCAGTAGAGGAGCTGTTGGTAGTTGTGTTACTCCAAACACGTATGTACTGGACTTCGAAATATGCCTGGTCGTAATTAGTGCCATTACCGATGACATTGGTGGTGTAGCAGTAGTTCGTGGGCGCGTCGGAAGGGATCGGTCCGCAAGTCTGGTTGTACACAGTCAAAGCACCTGCGCTGCGAAAGGCGTCAGTACATGAATCAATGATGTACTTTTCTGAACTGACAAATCGCCGCTATCATTCATCTCAGCATGTGACATAATGTGGAGCAATACAACCCGCTTACCAGAGAGTGATGTCCAGGATGATGAACTGCGGTTCGAAGAATGTGGATGTGGCGCAAGTGGATGAAGGATAATATGCAGCAGGCTCTCCCCACCCATCAGGGTTCGGCGATGAGTTGGCATTAGAAACAGACAAGTCACTCGGGATGCTGGCGCGCTAGGACTTTGTGAGCATGCGGAGCCAATACACCGAAATTTCATACAGGGAAGAACCAAATACTACAGAAAGTCAATTTGATAGTAAAGCCCACGGTAAAGACGGCTTACTATACACCAGATTCCGCGAGTAGAGTAGCATACACTCCGCCCCCAGCCGCGGCGAAGGCCGCACCGTAACTAGCAGAGTTGGAGTCAAGCACAGTGCAGCCTTGGGTCTTGGTCGGCAGCTCAGTTCCGCAGTCCTGGTCTGTCAGGCTACCCGTCATGGCGGCGGAACTGGTGACTGTGCATCTGATCAAGCGGTAAGGAGTTTGAAAGAGCAAAAGAGCGAATAACGCACCCGTCGACAGTGTGTAGAGCCATTTGATTTGCCTGAGCCAGATTCACATTCTCCAGCGTATCAATCTCTGCGTCAACGACATCAGCAACACAGATAGTGGAACGTTATTCAGCCGACGAACCGCCTGGGTAGTAGCGTCAGGTTTGCGTAGGCAGCAACAACAACGGCACTCACCTCCTTCAGGCCACTTAGCCGCTTGAGACCAGAACGCCGGCCTGTACATGTGTCAGATGCGGGCACAACGAAGTGGAAGGTCGTAGTGTGTACCAGACGGAGCAACCATAGGGCAGATGGACAGCGTCCATGACCCACAAACTGCCAATGCCATACGACTGCAAACTTTGTAGGCGCACCGTGTTGCGCTTGTTTGGGTATACGACGTTGGAAGCATTGTCGACACGGACTATGGCGTTCCCCGCACCGTTGATAAATGCGAGCTGGGGCTCAGACTGTGCAACTGCCTGCGTGACGAAGCTGAGGTTGGAGTTAGGGGGAAAGATTTTTTTCGCGATGCGAAAGGCTCACACGGCGTCTCCGTTGGTCAGGTTCTACACAAGAGGAGGTGAGTGTGATGAAGACAAGGATATGATGGTATGTTACGCACATCAAAGTTACCGTAGAAGGACCAGTTGTCAAAGAAGGTATTGCCCTGCCAGTTCTGGAGTAGGTTATAACCCGCCGCGCGTGCCAGCGGTAAAGATGCGGCTGCGAGTACGAGAGTGACTGTAGACTTCATCGTGGTATGCTGGAGAAATGAGTGGTCTATAGAATGGCAGAGGTTAAGGAGTGTTTAGTGCTGACAAAGAAGGGTAATATATACGAGTTGGACGATGTGGACGGGTGAAGGGATGACACCAAGAGGGACGTGCCCTTAGGCGATGATGGACTGCGGAGGGCCCCGTCACCATTCTTAGCCCGCGGAAGCCCTTTTTTTCTCTCTTGAACAGCCATGAACTGACCAATAATTCGTCTTCATTCACTAAAATAATAATCATTCCATTAATACCCAGAGTCCCTCTCTACGTCACTTCTTCTTGTCACTTGGTGCTTGTGGAGCGAAATCCTCCTTTTCCCGCGATGCAACATCCATCGCGGCCTTGGCGGCAGTGACAGGGTTGCTACATAATGGTCTGCGTCGTATAGCAACTCACTTGGACAAATCCGATCTGTTGCCAGTAACGAACATCTTGGCAGTCAAGAGGTTCCCTTTCGAGAAGCGCATTCGGCCACTGCCCTCCAGCTTCTTACCCCAAGCTCTCACTCTTCCTCGTGGAGGTCATTCCAGTGAACAAGGACTCGAGGGTATCTTCCATTCTTCGTGGACGGGGGAATGGCGCCGCCATCGATGTGATTGATATGCTGTGTGCGGTCAGGGTTCGTGATCGGAGGGTACAAAATCAGATAACTAAACGCGTATGGTATAGAAGCTCTGGACTGGAACCGTACATATCGGACCAGCCTCAGCACAAAACAGAACAAATTCTGGCTTGTCCCTCTCTTCTTCTTCTTCTCCTTGCTTGTTCGACGCCTCACGCGTTCACACTTCACCACACGATAGACTGTGTACCCCAAACGACTGACTCTCTCGTCGCACCCTGAGTTTTAACTTGGTGTGGTGGGATGATATCAAGACACGCAGACGATAGTCTGCCGACGACTTCCACTTACGTGTCCGGTTCAACCCGTTCGCGACGACGTCCGTCATGGTCAGCCACCTCCCGAAGAAGGAGCGCCCTTTGCTTGACATGTTTGGTGATTGTGGGTCTCGTCTTCCATCGCGTGTACGTTCCGGAATGGAAGTCGACCACCTTTCTATGGAAAGCCCAGCCTTCATCTGCAACGCTCGGAGATTGTCGACCTGCCCCGGCATATACAGCCAAACATGGAGTTACAGAGCAATGGACATCGGTCCGTCTACAAGAAATGATTGATCGAACAAAGGGCTTCTACGCAAGAGACTATAGCTTATGGCTTGGGTGGAACAATGTACGCGCAAGACCGAATTGTAGCCTCCAACGTTAACCTTGCTTCAGGTCCGCTATATCATTGAAGCTGGAGTGTTGCAGGCTGGCCTGCTTAATCGCACCCTCATCATCCCATCCTTTGTATACGCCCGACAATGCGAGTTCTCTTTGGATGCGTGCGCCGCATTCTTAGATATGGTGAATCGGGGAGATGCCATCGGGTGGGATGAATGGCGGATGTGGCCGATGGACAAACAGATGGGATGGAAGATTCCCATCGGGGTGCGTTGTCCATTTTCTTGTGGGTTTTATCCTTGACAGACTGAATACTATGATAGATGATGATCGATCTGAATCATCTTCGAAAAACGCATGCCGTGGTCACCGTAGCAGAATACTTGGAGCTCCAATCTCTCACCGCCGATCTTGAGCAAGGAAATGGACAATGGAGCGATGCGGTCTATCAAGCACGTTCTCGGCCGATTCCTAACTCTTGGTGGGATCCTCCTGGAGTGATCCGAGTTGACCAAGAGCAGCCGCCCTTCGTGTTGAACGAAGACGATCCAATATCTCTTAGTGCGTTCGATGCAAGAGAAACGGTGGGTGAACAAATCGAAAGTCTGTTGAAAGATCAACCACGTGGCCTGTTGGAGTGGTCTGCGGCTGAAGACCGCTTTCACTTGCTGAATGTGAGCGGGGTAGACGATTCTTCTGCGGAGCTCTTCCTCCGAGCCGCCGGCTTTGAAGTTCTGCACACCTACCAAGGCTCGTGAGTCTCTTATCTTGGCATTACGTTCTTCGAACCTCTAACTTCCTATGAAGGTTGAATACCGAGTTTACGAAGAGCGTAGCAACTCCAACTCGACAAGTGGCTCGCAGGTCTGAAGTCCACGGGGTGGTTGATGACTTCGGGTCGTGGTCTGATCAAGTGATCCATCTCGAGGGAGAAGTGCATCTTGATCGCAAACCTGTACATGCCTGTTTCTGTCGGCGGAATTCTACTCACAAGCTCGCAGGGTGGTCTACGCTTTGCCGATCCTTCGAGAATGCGAGAGTTCACTCATACAGTGCTCTATGATGTTCGCACGTTGCCGAAGATTGAGGCATTAGCTGTTCGGATCGACGAACGCATGCGTGAGCGGACTTCGGGCCGTTTATGGAGAGCTGCGCACGTCCGCCGGGGCGATTGTAAGCCTATGCGGATTTTTCGACTGGTTTTGGAACTAAGGAATCCATTCAGTCGTCAATATAGGCTGGGCGGGTCCTAGTTTGGAGCAACACATTGAGATCGTCAAGAGCAAGCTGGATCTTGCGCCGGCGATCTTAACAGATATCCTAAACAACCAAACTACAGATGTCCTGGAAAACTCTGGAGAGCAAATGATTCCGACTATGCTTCAAAGCCAAATTCCTTATACCAGCGACCCGTAATGTTTCATTTCTTACCTATCCTACAATCCATCTCATGCCTTAAAGATTCTACATTGCGACAGACGAGCGGAATCCATGGGCGCTGGACTACATACGCTCCCAAGGAGGCCTGCTAATTACAGACCTATTTGAGCCGGAAGACCGTCACATAGTTGGCTGGCCCTTGCTTATCACAGATATCCTCGCCCTCGCAGAGCAGCACGTTTTGGCTCGAGCAGCATATTTCTACGGCTCCGGTATGAGCTCAGTAACTGGAGGTGTAATAAACCTTCGCTCTGTCAACGGTTGGCATCCTCGGACGACCACAGTGGACTAATCAAGGCGGGCTGCTTTGTACACCGTTTATAATACGCTCTAGAAGGTAATTATCGTAGTGGGAAGGGGTGTATTATCTATAGGGAGAGGCGTTGTGTCATAATCGGGCATAAAGTGGCAAAAAATCGCCCACCTGAGGGCCATCGAGGAATCAGATCATAGTTGTTTGGTGTGTGATTTACTGCAACTCGGCTTGCTTGTCCCTCCCACCTTGATGACAGGGGAAAGCTGTTTTTTTGAAGAGCTCCCGACGTTGGTCTCCATTGAAATACTCCGCGACCATAGGAGGAATGGGAAGCGAGGACGTCGTACTCGTTCGTGACGAGCTCGTGCGTCATTGTTCGATATTGCGAGCTGGTCGTTGTCGGCCACTGCATATCGCCATGCGAGTGGTCACTGATATATATCAGTCTGGCCGTAGGACGGGGTCGCTCATAACTGAAAGCCGCAGTATATGCTGGCAACATGCGTTAGACTTCTTTCGCGGTTGGCTTTCCGATCACGCGCCAGTACACCCAGTTTTAGATTTGGAATAAAATAACATGATAAAGATGAACAAGTACCTGCAAGTATAGGCATCCAATCAGTGCTCGAGGGAATTTGCTACCGTGAATGCAAATATATCAACGGGGTCACCTTCGTCCTCGGGGTGCCGTAGTAGTGGTATAATCTGGCGGCAGACTCGCCTCATTCTCTGCGTCTCCTTGCAGAAATCCGGCATCCCGTTCCCGTCTTGGAACCACGGTGTTATCGGAGCTTGCTGTCCAGCTGGACTCAGAAGTTGGCGGGTACAGGGACGGGGGGACAAGCTCGGACGCTTGAGTCACAGGTCGTGCCGCTGACGGTCGAGCGCCTTTTTTAGGGCCGCGGCTCGTGTAACCGACGGCTGCCAGCGGCCGGATCACTGTGCTCTCCGTGTTATTCGGAGGAGGTTCACGTGCAGCTCCACCATTCGCGGCGGAAGCTAGCAAGATTTACTTAGTAAACAGACACAACAGACCTATATGGCGTACCTGCTCTCGACCAGGGAGAAAGCACCATGTCACTATTCCTGTGTGCTGGTTCGAGAGCAAACATGGGCGAGTTGGGCTGAGGGACAGCTTCGTATCTCATGGGGTACGGTGAGATCCCCGGCTTCTCATTCCGTCTTCGGAACCGCAAGAACAGCAAGATTAATGCCACGATGATTGCCAGCCCTATGATACCCCCGATCACACCCCCGACAATGGCTCTCGTATTGCTACGAGGAGATGGTGGGCTGGTCGATCCTTCCGCTACCGATGAAGGTGAAGTCACATTAGAAGCATCTCCAGATGTGCTCGAGCTTGGGGGAGCTTGGCAGAGGATAAGGATCATGGATTTGGCACACGGCAGCGAAAAGACTTACTTGAGGGAGTTATCAATAAGAATCGGTCCATGTTAATCTGGCCATAGCCGCCATTATGTTGTCCCCCAATAGTCGCTCTTGAATCGAACAGATTCAAGATGGTGACGTTATGAAACGCATAGCTCAGATCATCCTTGGAGTATAACAGGCGAGGCGGGTCACTGCCATCGGCCGTAGTGTTGAGTGCATCGATGCGGTCGCCCAGTGTAGACGTTGCCGGGCAATCGAAGCAGATAGAAAAAAGACCGCCATCAGAACGCTGGTAGGCCCAGAACTGGAAGCGGGTGGCAGGTTCTGAAGGATATGTGAGTCGAAAGAAAGAGAAGGCCTCTGGATGTAATGCGCACGGGAGAACGTGTATGATATGTACGAGTTGGCTAACCCATCTTGAGCATTCCCTGTGTCGAACTTTGCCTGACCGTTGGTAGCGCCCGGCGCTGCGAGTGAAACCCAGGCGCCGGCTGGAACGAAGGTTAGCCCCGTCGACGAACTCGTAATGGTCGTGTTGATAGTATCTGTCGACATTACTTGGCGACAGTTACTCAGACAAGGATGGTGAAGAAAAGACAGAGAAGTACTGGTTGACCCGGCCCAACCAATTTGGGCAGTATGGAAAGCTCAGCATTACGAATAGGAGAAGCACGGCCAGGGAATAAGCGGCTCGGCCACGTTCCATACAGTTTACACATTCCTCGCACTGCAGCGCTCGTTCAATTGCACTGCAGCAACATTCATCAAGATCGACCAAAACGGTAATACTCGTGGGACAGATGACATCCCTTAGCATCTGCCCCTCGCAGATACCTAAAACGCGTCGCAGATTGCTTGCCTGCGTGGAGGGAAGCACAAGGCACCGTTCCTGCACGTGATCATCATAGATTTTAGGACTCTGTGACCAGTTGGTGTGCATCCTGCGGGAGAGAGGGGTCAGCCAACCGTGTGATTTCGACCCCCTTAAATTGCTTCCATTTTAGATATCTAGGTATTTTGGGGGTGCGGGATGTCACCTATATACGAAAGTCTAAAGATGTCCATTGAATATACGAAGTGCAAAGACGTGCTTTGGCTACGATGAATATACAACCGCAAAATTGATTCCAATCGGCCTATGGATTCCGAACCGCCCTGTTCCTGTTGGCTCTCTGCTCCACTGCAACATGGTAGTCCGGGGGTAAAATTTCGGACAGCTCATCGCCCTGTAGGAACCCAGCATCCTGCTCTCTGAGCTGGGCGGTGCGGGTGACTGTATGCCCGCTATGATCTGCACCAGCGGACGTGCTAATCGTTAACTGATCGTCGGAACGAACGACAGCAGCACCCGATAACTCCCTAGCAACCTTAGATGACTGCGCTGCAGTGACTGTGGAGCCCGTCTCCCTGCGAAGAGGCGATCCACCGTAATCGCTGGATCCGCCTGCTAGGGGAGAGCTTATGACTGTGACAAGTCAATCTTGGACCATGACTGACGATCCCCTTGTACTCACCTGTCATAGGCATGGAAGTCGGCGTATTGGTAGCCATGGTCGAATGAAGCGAATTATACATCGAAGACATCGGATCCCTCATCGGTATACCAGGCAGCGGGGAGGTCTCCTGTACCGGTTGTTGTTGTGGAGAGCTCACTGAGAAAGCTGGGATGGGATCCCCTTGCATCTCCGCGCCGTTCGTTGGCTCGAACTTCGGCTCGTACGAGTTCTCTACCTCGCTCATGTCTGCGGTTATGCCCGTAGCTTTCCGCTTCCTCCAGAGGAAGAACCAAAGCAGGAACAGGATGATGGCAAGAACGACAAGCCCGGCTACGACGCCACCCGCAATAGGACCAGCGTTGCTCTTGGATGACACATTGCCATCGGTAGCACTGGATCCGTTGCTCGATGTACCGTTACCCGATGTACCATTGCTCGATGTACCGTCGCCCGATGTACCGTTGCTCGAGGTGCCGTTATTCGATGTATTGTTGTTCGATGTACCGTTGCTCGATGTACCATTGCCCGATGTACCGTTGCTCGGTGTACCATTGCCCGATGTACCGTTGCTCGATGTACCGTTGCCCGATGTAGGACTCGATCCGTTGCTCGATGGTGGTGCTGGGAAGGGATGATCAGAAGGGCGCAGACGAAAACCAACTTGAGCTCACTAGTCGGAGAGACCAGCACAAAACGATCCAAGGTCATTTCACCGTAACTTGCTCTACCGTCCTTCGCCGAAATCCGTGTATCGAATAGATTGGCAATGCTGACGTTGTGAATAACATACGTTAAGTCGTACGATGCATACAGCAGGCGTGGAGGTTCGGAGCCGTCTGTAGATGTGTTGACGGCGTCGATCTGAGTGCCGCTGGTCCCTTGGAATGGACAATCGAAGCAGATGGAGAAAAGCCCCCAATCCGAACGCTGGAGCCCCCAGTATTCAAATCCTGTTGCAGGTCCTAAGTGAATCCATTAGTTTGGCAGAGAGGGATACAAGGCCATTGGATACGCACGACTGAAGGTGTAAGAGATCCATCCTTGTGTGAAATTGTTGAATTCGGCCCTGTTGTTTATCGCCCCCTTTGCGCCGTAGCTGCCCCAGGCTGCAGTAGGCGTGTAGGAAATGGTTGAATCGGAACTTGGGACAGTGAGGTTCAGTGTTGAAGCCATGAGTACAGGTACTGCCTGACTGAGGACCAGCCAGGCCCGGGTCAAGGAATTGGTGGGGTGGGTATAAGAAAGCCTGACGAGCCTCGTAACATCATGGGGATGAGTTTTTGTGGTGTTTTAACTGCAGTCGTGGTGCGATTCACTTCCCCTGTGAGGAGAGGCCCTCCGTCGGGGGCAATGTTTTGAAATCAATGGCAAATGCTGAATGTAAATCATTATTTGGGACCCTTCTGGTTGCCGGCCACACCGCATGCTACCTCGTCGGTCTGCACAGCTGATCGCACAATGCCTCACATATTCACTTGGTTATCTATACATACACAATAAATTAAATTTCCGCAGGACGTCCGATCCTAATCGTTCCGTGGTCTAGACGTACCCGTAGCCGCACTGTAGTCAGGGGGTAAAATGTCCTCCGCAAGCTCATCTCCTTGGAGGAATCCAGCATCCTGATCTCTACGACGTGGTATGCGGTGGGAAATGGGAGGTCCATTGGCATCAGGGCTCGCTGGATAGACGGACGGAGTAACTGTTTCTCCCGACCTAGTTACAGCGCTTCCTGTTAATTCGCTGGTGATCTTTCGCGGCCGAATGGTTGTGGATGCTGTTGTTGCTGTCCCAGCACGCGCGGGGAGGGGACGATCGCCTCCAATTTCACTTGGTCCGCTTGATACAGATGGTCCCAAAAAACTCCCAGCGTCTGCACAAAAATTAGAGTAAGAACCCCTCACTCTTGGGAGATGTGTTACCTTGCATCCCCACCATCATGGGCGACACGAAAGGCATAATCATGGGCGATATTGTAGGTAGTACTGTTGACGGCGTGAGAGACATTATCGGCGATGTTTCCAGGATCGGCTGTTGCTGTGGAGAGACGACGATAGAGGGCCTGATCCCATCTCCAGGTGGTGGCTCGTACTTGAGCTCAAATCCGCCGTTCATATCTTGAGACAATCCGGACCCTCTATTGTTTCCCTTTCTCCACCAGAAAAAGAAGAACAGTAAGAACAGGATCACGAGGCCCGCGATCCCTCCCAGAACACCGCCCACAATAGGACCCACATGACTGCCGGAAGACGAGGACCCGCCTGCTCCGGCCGTTGCAGTGCCGTCTGGTTGGGTCGAGCTCGTGCTCGTGGATGTTGGTGGTGCTTGGAAAACTCAAGGTCAAAGAAACAGACTTATAAGCAGCGGTTTCACTCACTAGTAGGGCTGACAAGGACGAAATGATCCAAGTTCATTTGCCCATAAGAAGGGGTGGGAAACTTGATACTCGTGCGCGGGTCAAACAGATTTGTGCAGCTCACATTGTGAATGGCGTAGGTCAAGTTGTAGACGCTGTACAACAGACGCGGCGGCTCAGAGCCATTGGTCGTGATATTGAGACCAGTCCCCACTTGATCACCTCCTGTATCGCCGGGAGGGCAATCGAAACATATGGACATTAGCCAGTGATCAGAACGCTGAAAACCCCAGTATTCGAATCCAGTCGCTGGTTCTGCACATGTTCTTTAGAACCCAATCCATGCTGTATTTGAAGCACAACTTACGAGGAAATGTGTAGGTAATGTAACCCGGCAGGGAACCCTGATCGAACATCGCCCGACCTCCAGTTGACCCGTTCAAGATGCCGACAGGTGACCACGTCCCGCTGGGCTGATAGGAGACGGTGGGATCGAAACTGGGTATAGTTGTGTTCAGAGTCTGGTCAGACATGTCGAGATGCTGGTCACGCTCAAACCTAGCACAGGTATGTAGTCGACTCCAGAGCCGAGAAGAGGAAGAAGAATAAGAAAAGCTCCACCATCACGTATATATGTGGTGGAAAATGGCCGAAACAAATGAGTATTTGGTTGAATGGTCAGGGGGAAGTGTTTCCGTATCGTTAGGTAACAGAGTCGGGCATCACCGCCACTACCTAATTTTGTTATTCTATGGTTCCTAACTGTGCCTCGGCTCTCCACCAACCTTTCAACCCGCAGCCTCTTCTGCCCGAACCAAGTTTCTCCGTCGGGTTAGGCGTGCCTGGAAAGGGCCGCCATATCCCCACCGGGCCCCCGAGTTTGTTGTCCAGCCAACTGTCGCTGCATCATCCGCCGGCGATATAGAATAATGTACAGACAACAATGTAATCCTGACTGATAAAGGACTTGTACATAATAATGTCTTATTGATGCGAAGGACGCTGGGTTACAACACGAACCAAAAGGGTAAAATTGAATGATCGTTCGAGAATCCTGAAAAGGGATGATTTACAATAACGTGCAGTACTGATCAGGTCATTTCCAGCTACGATTAATCAGTCCGTCGTCGTGCAGTGGCAGCATCGTAGTCAGGAGGAAGTGTGGCAGGTTCGAGTTCGTCGCCCTGCAAGAACCCGGCGTCTCGCTCCCTACGAGGAGAAAGGGCCATGGTCGCATAGCCAGAGCTCGGTGCGCTGACTTCGGAGCTTGCGGGGTAAACCGATGGAGACACTGGTTGCTCTGAACGCGTGACTGGGGCAGCAGCCATGTTTGGTGCTCCCTTCCTCGGTGGTGCTCCTGCAACGGCTGCCATGTGCACCGCATGTGCACCGTATTCACTTGGGGCGGATGTCGAGGGACCTGATGAGGTTGAGGGGCCAGATGAGCTTGATGTGGCTGTTTGTGACCACTCGTTAGATCATGAAGGATCTCGTGGGAGGGAATCAACGTACCTGCTGGTTGGTATACGGCCTGATCTGTGGATCCCTGGTTAACCATGGCCTGATTGGGCGCATATACTTGCGGTTGCGTCCCCAGAATGAAAGGCGCAGCTGGGTTTCCAGAAAGATCTGGGACATCCTTCGGCTCGTAGTTAACCGGTCCATGTTCGGGATTCATATCCAATACGCTCATTCTCCGATCCCGATTGCGGAAGAAGAAGAACCAAAGGATGAGAGCGATAATTGCCAGACCAGCTACCCCTCCCACCACGCCACCTGCAATGGGACCCGCATTGCTGGATGAGCCGGACGATGATCCTCCGCCGCCTGCGGCTCCAGAGGAAGGGGATCCGCTGGGTGAAGTCGATGTTGACGTGCCTGCCCCTGACGTATTGGGCGGTGCTGCAACTCTATCAGACCATGGTATCCGTGTGATCACCAGAAATTAGCTCACTCGATGGCGTAATAAGGACGAAACGGTCCAACGTCATCTGACCATACCCTCCATTCGTTGCATTGTCGATCGTAGCCCGCTGGTCAAACAGATTTGCAATGGTGAGATTGTGCACTGCGTAGCTCAGATCATATTTCGAATACAGTAACCTCGGAGGCTCTGTGCCCTGTGTCGAGGTATTGAGGGCGTCGATGCGGTCACCGAGGGTGTACGTCTGTGGACAATCGAAGCAAATGGAGAAGAGGCCACCGTCGGAACGCTGCCAAGCCCAGTACTCAAATCCAGTTGCGGGCTCTGTTAACCTTTGAGCAAGATGTGAGGACTCTAGGAGGGCGAAACGTACGGGTGAACGTGTAGGTTATGAACGCGTTGGCCCTTCCTAATATCCCCGGTAAGACCTTACGACATACTTGTTACAGTATGTGCATACCATTCACGGTGTCGCCCACCAGGAACTCGCCCTCGCCGCTCGTGGCTCCATTTGCAGCAACCGGAACCCAAGCATCAGTTGGTTGAAAAGATGTGCCTGTAGATGAGCTTGGCACTGTGGTGTTGATTGTAGACATTGTTCAGGATATCCGGATATCCCAGTGGTCGTTGGAGGAGACAATGACGAGTGGGGGCGCCCTGGGGCGGGTTGTCAAATGGAGGGAACGAAGGGAGGACCTTCTCTGTACGCATTGAAAACGGATTAAATTAAAGATTGATGTGGAAAGCAGGGGTTTGGACCGATCTCAACGGAATGTATTGGAATGTCCGAAAAGATGGACTTCTGACACCCCTGTTGCAGCGCTTCCTCTCGCTCGGTGTCTGGCCATATATCATTCTCCTCCTTCATCTCCTTGAACAGCTCACCACCCCGCAGCGCATCGACACGGTTGTGATAACGACACCCCAGCAACAGCAGTTAAACCACCATCCAGTACAGTCATGCCATGCTCTCTCAACCTCTTACATTTCCGGGGTCTCACAAACACGAGATCTCCACCCGCCCTCGCTACCTTTAGTCACCCTTTCCGCACGGCACCGCCCGGTGAGAAGGCCGAACTAACGGGTTCGTTTTGCGCTAATAATCTCGGCTCTTCCATCGCTTGGCGCGCATTTTTAGAGGATCAGCGCTCATCTTTCAGAGCCTTGGTCACACCACGGGTGACATGAACGGCCACCTTGTTCAGCTCATGATCTCATGTGTTCATGGCCTCACCCTCAAGCTGTCCCGCCGTACGAATTGCACATATATGGCGGGCATTGTATAGTTACACTGTGGTGGAAAGGGCACAGGATATCAATAGGCAAATGTATCGAGCCGCTCCGTTTCATATTTTACTCCACGTTCGTCGTCCGAGGGTCCCATCCATTAACTGCGCGCAGATTCAACACGCCACCCGCTACTGAACTCGCCGCATAGCCGTTAAAAAAGGCAGCACGAGCCATGACATGTTGCTCCGCAAGTGCGAGGATGTCGGTGATCAGTAAGGGCCAGCCTACGATGTTGCGGTCCTCGGGTTTCAGCAAATCCATAATCAGCACACCTCCCTGTGAGCGAATGTAGTCCAGTGCAGCGGGGTCCCGCTCGTCGGTCGCAATGTAGAATCTGTTCCAACAATCAGAAGCAGCGAGGGGTGGCACGAACATACACTGACGGGTCGTCATTTTGGGGAATTTGCCCTTCAAACATGGCAGGATTCAGATGGGCGTCTGGTATATCGAACGTATGAGCTTGCTGGCCGTTGCGTATGTCATTCCAGACGGAAGGTGCTCGGCTCAGTTTCTTCTTGACGATTTCGATATGTTTCTCCAGGCTGTTTTCGGTCCACCCGTAGGTAACAACTGCAACAGATGTCAGTTTATGTGGTGGGACGACTGATGGTAACCTACAGTCTCCGCGACGAACATGAGCGGCACTCCACATACGACCATCAGTTCTCTCTTTCATGCGCTGGTCAACGCGATCTGCCAATGCAGAAACCTCTGGTAATGAGCGAAGATTGTATAGTACTGTTCGAGTGAAAAATTGCAAGTTGGCGACACTTGTGAAGCGCAAGTTGCCCTGTAAAGCAAGTCAGTTCATGAGCGAAAGCATTGCACAGGGGACAAACCGGTTTGCGATACAGATGCACTTCGCCCTCCAGGTGAACAACCTCGTCGGTCCACGAACCGAAGTCATCAATGATTCCATGTACTTCAGACATACGCGCAACTTGCTTGATTGGTGTGACGACGCTCTTGATCAGGTCAAACCCTCGACTCGGACCACGAGTAAGCATCCGAGTAGAAGCTACAAAAAAGAGAAACACTTACGCTCCCTGGTAAGTGTGCAAGACTTCGAATCCACCCGCGCGCAAAAAGAGCTCTATCTTTATATCATCGTCGTCCAGACCGAAAGACCGAATCGCCTGCTGGACAAATTCCCAATCAAGGACATTCTGCGAATGACCCTGCATCATCTCTTCGATCTTCTCCTTAACTCTATCACGCGCTTCAAATGCGGCGAGCGAGTCGGGGTTCGACTCGTCGAGCACAAATGGTGAGCGCTGCTGCTCGACACGAACCACTCCAGAAGGATCCCACCGATTATTGGGAATGGCTCGCGAATGCAGTTTGTAGGTGTCATCGCTCCACTGACCGTTTCCTTTCTCAAGGTCAGGTGACAGACCACGCAGCCTGAGATATTCAGCCATCGTCACCACGGCGTGCGTCTCGCGCAGATGGTTCAGGTCAATCATCATCTGCCGGGTCACTCCTGGTTAACGTTCTGAACGTCTAGAAAGCACTTGAACGCACTCCAATAGGGATTTTCCATCCCATCTGCTTCTCTATGGGCCACTGCCTCCATTCATCCCAGCCAATGGCGTCTCCACGATTGACCATCTCTACGAAAGCCGCGCATACATCTAGGCCAAATTCGCACTGCCGTGCATAAACGAAAGAGGGTACGATAAGGGTACGATTCAGGAGGCCGGCCTGCAGAAGTCCGGCTTCGATAATGTACCGGATCTGGTGAGTTGAACATAAGCGCTGCGAATGAGTAGATGAACCATGAACGCACGTTGTTCCAACCCAGCCACAAACTATAATCTCTTGCATAGTATCCTTTGGTCTCGTCCACCATGTGTTGCAGGCGGTCCAATGGCCACGTTTCCGTTACCTCCTGTATTGTTGGGTATCCAAGTGCTGGTCGACAATCATCTGTTGGGTTGGCCTGGTTGCCTGCGACAACTGGTCCGCCATAAGCGGACTCGGGACCAGGGGGCATTCCCCAGGCAGGATCACTTGTCGTCCATCGTCGACCGAATGCTTGATGTAGAATGAAGATGACGAGTGCAGCTCCCCCGATGTAAATGACGATTCGTCGGCGAGATGTTGTGAACCAGTTGGTGGTGGGACGTCGTTTTGATCGAGGCGAGCTCGGTGGGTAGGAGGTAGTGGGAAGGACAAGAGGTTCTTCCGCCTCATCGGATAGAACCATTGTTTAAGCAAGCAGCAGTTGTTTTTAGTGTTGTTACCAAGATATACCAGTAAAAGGAGAGAGAGGACAGGCTGTCTGCGTTGAGAGTTCGAAAAAGAGAAGTGCGGGTCCAGAATTGAGTCTCTGGCACACGCGTCATAACGACGACTGACTAATTAGAGAACGGACCCTAGCGCCTCTTCAAGTTGAACTGGGGGGGCTTGTCATGAACACCAAACCATTGTGACTCGCTACCACCACATCTCTCCATTGGAGATTGTACCAACTTTCGGCACTCCAACGCAATCTTCTACAGCCCATATTGATTCTGGAACAATGCATACCCAGCAATGGATCCTATCCGCTGATCAGCTGGGCAGCGAGGCGGCGGCTGGGCAGCTGTTTCCCGCCGGTGTTCAGTTCGGGTCGACCCCAACTTTGCCATCTAGTGACCGCCCTTCAAAAGTCTATTCGTTTTCATCCGCACAAGAACCGCGATTGCTTGGTCTCCAGGACACGCTTAGCTGATTTTCGATTTCCGGACGCTGAACTGTGGCAATCAGTCTATCTGGAACCATATACGCCGTCTATGTCTCCGACGCGCAGCCGACTAGGCCTATCTTCCAGCCAACTGAGTATGGCCACCCATTTACTGCGCCGCTGCCTGTTATCACAGATGCATCTCAATGGTTGTCCCTGCGCGGTACACCTCAACTCTGGACGTCAGGAGATTTCTTGGAGTTGCTTGTGTCTGTCACGGTCAGCAAAATCACGCAATTCAAGACCGTCACTGGTCTTCTGCCAAGTGCATCAGCTACAATCACGAGCACATATCATGCTGTGTTCACCATCGGACAACCGCCGGTTGTGAGAACCATCTCCCAGTCCTCGATCCCAGTCGCCCTAGCAGGGGTATGGGCATGCTTCGCAGAGAGAGACGATACTCCATGTTGCCATGTTGAGAACCTCGAGGATAACCGTCAAGTTGACCTAGCGGTTGATACATTTGTTCGTGCTCCTAACAGCTCGAGGTGGACGTTTACTAAAGAGGTTACAGCATGGAACGGTCCATGGTGCCTTTGTAGCGCCATCCTATTCTTTGTTCTTACTCAACACTGAATGGGATGGTGTCGCAGTCTTCGACCTTGACCTTCTCTCGGCGAAAGCAAACAGGACAATCCCTTCCTCCTCCCAACAGGGAACAAATATCCACCGACTCCAACCCAATACAGAAAATACAATCGGAGAGATTCCTCAAGACGCAATTGTTCTGCATCATCCTTTGACTGGCATGGTGCTCGCAATTCGTCAACAGAGCGTCCTTCTGTTATATTGTCAAGTTCCTTCAATCGGACCAGGTCTGCCTTCATCGTGGGCGATGGTCCATTTTGCGGAAGATGAATACCTGACCGCCTTGTGTCTTGGACCGGAACCAGACCAGCTCATTACTCTTGTTCATAAGAAGGAGTCAGATGCGTCTTTCTTGAAAATGACCACTGGATATCAGCGCAGACACTTCACCGAATGCTCGCCATCTTGGGATATCCTCCAGACAAATCCATCCACTGATCTATTACGTCACTGTGACACGCTTCACACGCTTCCGTTCACCACGGGGACGGCACCCACGTTCATCGTGGGACAGAAGGAAACAAGCTTATGGATGGAACTTCGTTGTGAGGTTTCTCCGCCGGATCGGGCCTTCCCATCACAGATGGACATCCCTGGGCGGATCTATGATAAGTTTGGAGGATTTGCTGCGTCGGATGCTAACGCATATGTGAGTCACCCCGTGCCTATTAATCAGATGCCTCTAACATTAGTTTGGAATCAGAGGGTTCGCGGGCGTGCTGCTGCCGGTGGGGTTATTATTCGCGAAGCCATGAAGATACCACCGACTTTAGAAGGTGTGGAGCCACAGTGGACGGGCGCGAGTCACGTAGAGCTCTTCGAGCAAGACTTTTATGCACGCCCTGGTGCTGCCGTGGAGCTCCGAGTTTCATTTGGTGTCGTACGCCCGGTGCGTTTGCTTGCAGCATATACGGACGGATATTCTTCGTTCTCGGTGGCTGGTTGCCTCACTCCCAAGGGTACCCGCTTCATTGTTCTCTGTGAGGACGCGTCCTCGGAGCGACCGGAGAACTATACGTTCCGTTACAGCGGCAAGAAGGCGATCTACAGCATCAAATTGCTCGGTGACAGTCAATGCTCCCACCGTTTCAAATCGTTCCATCCAGACGGCTCCTGGATCGCGGAAGCTATCGAAAACGATGTATGCATATTGTTATCCCCCGAAGAGGACACGATCAAGCGCCGCGCTGCGGCAATCCGACTGGGTTTGCCGAAGTGAAGGACTTTGACTTATTGACCAAGAAGTGAGTTACTGCAGGTGGGGAAGGCTCATCATCAACAGAGACAGAACTCACCTGATCTTCGCCTTTATGCAAGGCAGGATCAGCTCTCGATACATAGCGCCCCACTCTGCAGTTGCGAACCTCGAACTCTGCTTTCATTTGCTGATGGCGACGGTATTCAGAAAGAGATGGAGAGTGTGTGGTGCGAGTGTAATACCACTCACCATTGGTGTGTCAATATTGAGGTAGCGAGCCCATGTATCATCGAATGACATATCGGGGGTTTGGCTGCTCGTCGTCAAGTGTGCCAAGCCTCACCACTCAGGAGAGTCCATGTCCGGACTTCACGATCAGGGTCCTTCTCACGTCTTTTTTGCCGCCAACCACGGCCATGAATCACCAGCGATGTGCTTCATCATATTACGACAATACCTTCAACGACTGGAAACCGCTGTGACCAATAAGTAGCCCATTTGCGACTGCATATAGTGATTCTCATATAATCTTGGATTACATTCGCCGTTACAGCGCCCGCCTGTCATGGGGATATTCGAGTCTTGCCCGGATATCCACCATACGGGCATCAGATCTGCCAGGAAAGGTAATCATCAAGTGAGAGTTGTGCTGGATATATATCGCTGGTTCCCCTCGGGATCCAACCGGCCGCGTATCAAGACCTTTGCATCCGGTTAAGTCGGAATTTCAGAGATATCCAAACAACTCTCCAGAGAACCATCAGGAGAACCATAACATAGGCAACTGAGTTCTGTTCAAAAATCATTGCTCAACAACAATGCTACTAATTTGCTCAAGTATCTTTGCCCCTGATGCCAAGGGATTCGTGTCGAACCAAACGATCGAGGTCAACGAGTCGTCTGGCTTGATCGCTCAGGTCAGAAGCACCACTGCTGCGGATCTCAAGAAGGAAGGCTCAATCGACCTGCGTGGGATGTCTGTACTTCCAGGGTTTGGCGACGCTCATGTACATCGTATGCTTGCTCGGATCCGAGGCTGGATTAGGACTTAGGCGACCTTGACAGTGTTCTTACATCCATATTCCGAAATCTCGTGGAACGACCAAGTCACGAAGCAGACTATTACCGAACGCACCGTGAGGGCTGTCAACCATTCCAAGGCAACGCTTATGGCCGGCTTCACTGCTGTCCGGTCAGTCATTACGGTTCTGGAAGCGCACTGATGCTGAACTTCGTGAAGCGACTTGGGGACTGAAGGAGCGCTCGACGCCGACCTTGCCCTAAGGAAATGCATCTCGACTCCAGTTTCCCTCATCCCAGGACCGCGATATTTCTGCGTCACCCGAGCCATTGTATCCACAGGGTCCTACGGTGACTTAGAGCCTGTCTGGCTCCTTTGCAAGGCTGAATATTCTTCTTGTAGGGCCGAAGGGGGAGCTCAACCCGAGTATGAACGGCGTTGATGGCGCTTTGGGTGCGGACGTCGCTGACGGTCTGGAAGAGTGTCGTAAAGCCGTTCGAAGGCAGATCGGCGCTGGTGCAGACTGGATCAAGGTAGAATGTCCATCATCGTTATTGAAATATTGTTAATTCTTTTTTAGATCTACGCAGGTAAGCACAGTGCCCATAGACTATGGGCGCGTGTCTAACGGCATCAAGATTACGGTTTTCGGTCACGCATGGGGGCGATTGCACCGAAGGTTGCAGTCGCCAACCGCGCACTGTGGGCAGAGGAAGAGATTAAGATGATGATCGACACTGCGCATGCGCTCGGTGTCCGAGTTGCCGCACACGCTTCCCTCGCCGAATCAATCAAGGTTTGTTCTCGCCTCGGTGTGGACACCATCGAACATGGATACGAGGCCGACCAGGAAGCACTTAATGCAATGGCAAAGCACGGTGTCATCTGGGTACCAACCCTGGGAGCTTATTACACAATGCGTACCGGAGGCAACGACTGGAAGTGGAAGAAAGCACAAGCAACATTCAGAATGGGGCTGGCGACGAAAGGCTTAAAGATTGCCGTTGGTGGCGATACAGGCGTTTTCGCTCATGGGCAGAACTGCTTGGAGATGCAATTGATGCATCAGCACGGTATGCCCTGGAAAGATGTTCTTCATGCCGCTACGGTCGTCTCATGGGAGGCGATGCGCGGCATGGAATTTCACGGTGAGGACTGCGAGAAGAACCTCAAGATGTTCGCCGCCATCGCGAGCCAAAACGAGGGAGAAAAGCATGGTGACAACGGGGTTCCGTTCGGGAGCCTCAAGCCTGGTTTTGCTGCGGATATCATTGCGACTGCCGGTAGCTTGGAGAATGAGTTTGCTCAGGCCATTGAGCCTTCGAAGATAGAGTTTGTGATGAAAGGTGGGAAAGTGTACAAGTGGAAGGGACAATCAGTGTGATATGATGATGGGATTGTAACGTTATGCAAGAATAAAATGGGGTTGATGGTGATGATGCTAAAATGTATTTTGTGTGGGGTGCAGGGTGATTGCAGCCAAAAAGTGAGATAGCGGCGAGATAAGGGACCGAATGTTGAAGATGACGGGAGCAGAAAGGGCCATATAGGCGCATACAACCAACTATCAAACAACGTCCGCTGGTCAGGCGTCAAGGCCAAATAGTTCACATACCCGCCTTGCTCTGGTCGACCACCATGCCCAACCCGGACTTTGTCAGGCGTATACGGACGGCCACAGCGAACGGCAGCAGCGGCGAGCCGTCACCCACTGGCAACCCTCGCTCTGGGTCGTCTACTGCATCAGCCAACCCTTTCGCATCTCTGTTAGAAGCGGGGCCATCGTCGTCTTCTGGGTCATCAGTGGGCTCGTACGGGTCTCCCAACCGGACATATGTGCCGGGTGGGACACCGACAAGCTCCCCAAGGAAGAGGAAGGCGAGGGATTACGGTGATAGGTGTGTTCATGTTCTTGGAACCGTAGTCGAAGTGCTAATACCTGTTAGGTTCATCCCAAACCGAGATGACAACCTGCAAACGGCGTTCCAACTCATAGGAGATAGTCCAACAACTCGATCGCGAAAACGGTCGTCCAACCCACCAGCGACGGACGGCAATCGAGGTACGCATAGGCCTACCCATGTGCAGCCGTCAGCTCACCTGTTATAGAACAAGCCAACCTTGCTTTTCAGTCGCTTCTCGCCACAGAGCTTTTCCCAAGCGGCCCCTCTTCTCCCCCTCGAGGATCTACGACCCCCGCTGGAACTCCCTCGACCCCCTCCCGAAAACGCATCTTCCAGTACTCATCTCCCTCCCGTTCACGTCTGAACCGTGACCTCGGCCTGTCCAACCCCGTGCACCAAGCATACTCCATCAGCCCAGTAAAGTTCGAATCTCAGCGACTATTGTTAAGCCCCCAAAAGACAGTTAGAAAAGTGGCCAAGACGCCGTTCAAGGTTCTAGACGCCCCAGACCTCATCGACGACTACTACCTGAACCTGGTCGACTGGTCAAGTACGAATATCCTCGGTGTAGGCCTGGGGACGTCAGTGTATGTATGGACACAGGAAACAGGTGCGGAGAGGCTGTTTGAGCTCGCTCCCGGGGATTCAGCAACATCGGTGAACTGGTGCCAGCGGGTACGTCGAACTCCTGCTGTCGACTGTTCTGATCGTCTGCCAGGGCTCCACTCTCGCTGTGGGAACACAAATGGGCACGATCCAGATATGGGATGCCGAGGCGCAGAAACAGATACGCACAATGTACGGGCACGACAACCGGATCGGCTGCCTGGCATGGACAGGGCATCTGCTCTCGTCGGGCTCCAAAGACCGGACGATCTATCACCGGGACACGCGCGCAAAGAACGATATCGTCAAGCGTCTAACGACACACCGGCAAGAGATCTGCGGGCTCAAGTGGTCGGACGACTCTGGTGGCCTAGCGGGATGCCAGCTCGCTAGTGGGGGGAACGACAACAAGCTGTTCGTCTGGGACGGGAAGATGATGGACCAGCCTATGTGGAAGTTCCACGAACACACCGCGGCTGTCAAAGCCATCGACTGGAATCCTCATTCTCGAGGTGTGCTCGCCAGTGGCGGCGGGACACAGGACAAGAAGATCCGGTTCTGGAATACGGTGGCAGGGACGATGCTGGGCGAGGTGGATACTGGGTCGCAGGTGTGCAACCTGGTATGGTCGAAGAACACCCCCGAGCTCGTGTCCACTCACGGGTACTCGACCGCCCCGGGGCAGAATCAGATCATCATCTGGCGGTATCCGAGCATGTCGACCGTCACCCAGCTGACAGGGCACAACCAGCGTGTGCTGTACCTCGCCCTCAGCCCGGACGGGACGACGATCGTCACAGGTGCGGGGGACGAAACGCTCCGGTTCTGGAACGTCTTCCCGAAGAGGGAAGAGAGGGAAGAGGACAAGGCTGTGGGGGAAGAGCTCGGGCCTAGCCTGGAGCTGTTTAACAAGGTCCGGTAGGTGTTCATCATCAGCATCAACGACAGCGACAGCGACATCATGCATTTCTCTCGTTCTGTAACTTTTCAGTGGATCTGTGCTCTCCGAGGGCTGTTCGATACCCGCACCACATCTTTTGCCACCTCGCATTTGTACCATCACGCATATATCCGTATAATGGCATTTTCAACAATTTACTTTTCTGAGGGATACAATTACACGTCTCACGTCTCGTATGCTCAAACCCTCAGGTTGGCAGGGATGTCCGCCACGTAGCCAACAATAGGATACCTCTGCACTCATGAGCCCTCCACTCGCAATTTGAAGCATAAGGAAATCACGTACCTTCTGGAAGAAGCTAAACCAATCCCCGAGGACCTTCTTGTCCTTATCGTTCAGCCCGCTCCAGTCGTACACCGCATCCTCAGGCTTGAGCGAGCTAGACCCAAGGCCCTTGGAAGCGTCCTTGCCTGCAAAGATATGGTACGCCCCTGCGGGGCCGTACGATTCTGCGCGGGAAGTGACGTCGAATACGGTGCCTGGGTATGTCAGAAGGTGTACAAATGAAAGGAGGGGAGAGAGCACCTTTGATAGAGACATAGATAGGCTTTCCGGGCTGGGTGCCGTCGAATGACTTGAGGTCTGCGAGACGGAGCTGTTTGTTCCCAGGAGGAGGAAGGCTTGCGGGGGGTGCTGGTGTGTGTGAGCGTGTGCTTAGCTGAGGGTGAAAGAGATACATACCTGACATGAATGATGGGTTTGGTGCTGCCATCGTTTGAGTAGTGGTGGTGGTGATGGGTGAGCTGTAAGATGTGAGTGTATGCGCTGTGAGAAGTGGAGGATACCTTACAGGGATGATGAAGAGATGGATGAATGTAATAAAGGGAATATATACTGAGCTGATAAGAATAAGAGGATAACGATCAACAATAATGATGCAATGTTAATATCATCCAAAGAGGTCAGCATTCGACAGAGCGAACAACACACCTCCGAGGATCGCCGATAAAATTCCCTTTTACGGAGTGACCGTGAGGGGATAATATCTCATCCCTTTATGGCTAGCCACTGTACGTGATTGATTTACATTCAATGCACACAATACTTCCATATTACACATTCAGAATTTATTAAATCATGACAATCGACAGTTGATAATATTCAACGCCGGTCATCTCATCTCATACCCGTCGTTCATCATCCCGCATCTTTCTCTGTAATCTGAGACTGCCTCACAACTGAGATCGCCCCGCAGAATTAAAGAATCCTGACCTATCCCTCGAATTTCCTAGTGAGGAACACTGTCTGTTGCCACAATCAGATCATCCGATGAGCTACACAAAGCACCTACGGTGAGGGAATGATGTTTTGGTGGTGCCAAGGAAACTGGAGTTACAACACGAGCCAAAGAATAATATAGTATAATCGACCAGGAGTCCTCAGAGGGTAAAAGATGAGCGTGATTCACAATATTGTGCAATATCAGGTCATTTCCAGCTACGGTTGACCAGCGCGCCGCCGGAGAGTAGCAGCATCGTAGTCAGGAGGAAGTGTAGGAGGTTCGAGTTCGTCGCCCTGCAAGAACCCGGCGTCTTGCTCCCTACGAGGAGAAATGGTTATGGTCGCATTGCCAGAGCTAGGTGCGCTGACGTCGGAGCTTGCGGGATAAACCGAAGGAGACACTGGCTGTTCTGAACGCATGACTGGGGCAGCAGCCATGTTTGGTGCTCCCTTCCTCGGTGGTAATGCTGCTGCAACGGCGGCGATTTGGGCCGCATGAGCGTCGTATTCATTTGGGACGGATGTCGACGGGTCTGATGAGCTTAATGTGACTGTTCAACTACTCGTCAGATCATGAACGATCTCGTGGGAGAGAATCGACGCACCTGCTGGCTGGTATACAGCCTGATATGTGTATCCCTGCCGGTTAGCCATGGCCTGATTGGGCATATACACGTGCGGTTGCGTCCCCAGAATGAAAGGCGCGGCTGGGTTTCCAGAAAGATCTGGGACATCCTTCGGCTCGTAGTTGACCGGTCCATGTCCGCCATTCATATCCCGTGCACTCGTTCTGCGATCCCAATTGCGGAAGACAAAGAGCCACAGGATAAGAGCGATGATTGCCAGTCCAGCTACCCCTCCTACCACACCACCTGTAATGGGACCCGCATTGCTGGATGAGCCAGACAATGCTCCCCCAGCAGAAGGGGTGCCACTGGGTGAAGCAGATGTTGACGTGGTTGAGCTTGACGTACTGGGCGGTGCTGCAACACGACCAGGTCATTGTATTTCGCCGTCACAGGGAATGAACTCACTCGATGGAGTAATAAGGATGAAACAGTCCAACGACATCTGACCATACCCTCCGTTCGTTGCATTCCCGATCGTGGCCCGTTGGTCAAACAGGTTTGCAATGGTCACATTGTGTACTGCATAACTCAAATCGTATTTGGAGTACAATAATATCGGAGGTGATGTGCCGGTTGTCGAGGTATTGAGGGCGTCGATGCGGTCACCGAGGGTGTAGGTCTGTGAACAATCGAAACAAATGGAGAAGAGACCACCGTTGGAGCGCTGCCAAGCCCAGTACTCAAATCCAGTTGCGGGCTCTGTCAACCTTTGAGCAATGCAGGCGGAAGACTAATGAGAAAAACGCACGAGTGAACGTGTAGAGAATGAATGAGTTGGCCAGTCCTAACGTGACTAGTGAGATCTTCATGACATGCTTGTCACTGGATGTCATACCATTCTGGTTGTCGCCCACCAGGAACTTGCCCCCACCATACGTAGCATCGGTTGCAGCCGAGTCGAACACCCAAGCATCAGATGGGAGGAAAGATATGCCTGTGGATGTGCTTGGCACTGTTGTGTTTATTGTAGACATTGCTCAAGTTCAAGTCTCTGTTGTCACTGCAGGAGACGATGACAATTGGCGCCCTCGAGTGAGGGGAGTGAAGTGAGTCCTCTGGAGAAGCATTGAAGACAGGTTGAATGTTGTGTAAAGTGTTGCGGTGTGATGAACAGAATATTTCGGGATATCTCCAAAGATAGAGCGCTAATAACCCTGATTCTAAGCACCGCATCTCTGATTCAGCGCATCCTTCAACTTGGCGCATAATCACTTCCTCGAACAGCTCACCACCTTACAGCGCATAAAAAATGTTGCTTCAACAGCCCAACATCACTTCCACCAACATCCAGAACTGATAACAAGGCTCTCTTATCTAACCTCTTACGTTTGCGGGCTCTGACAAACGTTATATCGGTATACATCGAGGCATCGAGGTACCCGAATTTCACGGCACCGCTTGCGTTGATAATATCTCGGCCCTTCCATAGGGTCAGCGCCTGATTTTTGCACAGGATTGTATAGGCGAACAGGCAAATACTTCAAGGATCCATAAACTGCATTTATTGCAACTTCACGATCTTATCAGATGACTGTGTGCAGAATCAACCACCTATGTCGTGTACCAGAGACCAGCAGGGATCATGGGCTTGACACCTACCACTAACCCGATCATTCACCTCCATTAGCAAGGCTGTATGATGGCAATGCTGATACTTGCAGGGCTGTCGCTGGCTGAAGTCCTCATGATGCGGAAAGGGGGTAGTAATGGGCGTGTCAATTGTCTTGGTACCCATGCACATCATCCCATCTCCTTCTCTTTTATTTTTGACTCCTTCAACAACCGGTATCGCTCCACAACCCTCGCCCGTTCCTCCTCCAGCGCAGCCCGAGTAGCAAGTGACAACACTCCTTCCTTCCCTTCCCTACCCTCTCCCTTCTTAGCCGCATTCTGAGGCAGTCTAGTGAGTGACGGCGGCGCTTGAGCAATGTCGTTAACCCTTCGGGAAAGGGGCAGAGAATCAAAGTCCGTTTTGCGCTCTTTTTTTGTTGGAGGGGGGGCGCTTTCAGGAGCAGCTTCTTTCTCTGAAATTATTGCTTTCGCTTTAGATGCTTTGGAAGCCTTGATCCGAGGCTTCAATGCTCGGTCCACACGTCTATACACGTCTTTAGCACACTCCAACAGCATCAAAAGGAGTGCACCTGTTGAAGTCTTCCAAGCGCTCCCCAGGTCTAAGTTTCAGTTCTTCTTTCTCTTTCTCCTACTGTCTTAAGTCTCCAACAGCTGACAACGATACGACGACACTCACAGCCTCGGTCTTGCGTTTCTTGCTTGTTTTCTCTTGTCCTGTGGGCTCTTCCTCTCGCTTTCGTTTCTTCTCCTTGTATTCCGCTCGGATGGACTGAGCGTTCAACACTCTCATAGCGCCTATGCACATCAACGACTAACAAATAACAATAATGCGATAACCCACCTCTAGGAGCATCATCCTTCTCTGCCGTCTTTGGTGCATGATCAAACCCTCTAACCCATCAGCTCATATCCAAACAGTATTGTAAGGAAACTGCTCACCTTTGCTTCTGCTCTTGTTCTCTTACAGACCGCTTTGGACGTTTGTGCGCCATCTCACAGTTAACGAAGACGTAATATTTGTCGTCGTCGTTGGGTAAGAGCAAGACGACGCGCAGACAACTATTTTGGGGCTGGGAGGAATTGCCGCGCTGAGCCGTGCGTGGCCGCGTCAGGGTCCCAATTGGGCGGAAGTCGAGTGTTGACATCAATAAGCCGCTGATTATTTGAGTGGAAAGTAATAATATAGTCCAATGTTTCGATGCAGACAGGGACTCCGGATGTGTGGGTAAATTGTTGATTATTACATTGGAAAGTAACAAGATATTTTGATGTCATTACAAAAAGGGCAAGGATCCCGCACTGAGGGTGCCGCGCTGTTCAGGAGTTCACTGTGCAGAGATCCCATTCTAAGTGGGTGAAACGCCGCGCAACTCGATCACGTGAGCCGCGCAGGGGGGGCGGCTCACGTGATTCAACAGAGCTCGCAGGATTGCTTGATTTGGTGAAGTTTTCAAGATTTTAATGAAACAACAATAACAAAAAAACAGGGGATGCCAATGTTATTGTTATGTCTACCAAACTGCTTTTCAAGCAATATTGAACAGTGAGTGAGAATTGTGTGTTGACCGGCTGGGTAGAGTAGCCCGTCCTGCGCGGCAGACGCGGCAAAATAACCCTACCCACTATTTTGTCATCGGCCCGGTGGTGCGGCTGTGCGCGTGAACGCAGTCCACGACGACAGCGCGTGCAACGACCAACTCTCCAGCTTACCTCCATCATTATCATCGTCGTCGTCGTCCTCCTCCTCCTCCTCGTTGGCGCCACTCTGGCGTCAAACAGATGCATCATCCCCTGCGCACTCAAGCGCTCTCAACACCCAACCTCCCTCTCACAGCCAACCCTTTCCCTGCCTCAGCCGAGCCATCCTCCCCAACACCCGTTTTCCATCACCGTCCACCACCGATAATAATTACCACCCAAGACCAGGAAGATGTCGAGCTCCAGCCGTTGTTCAGCCGCGTCCAGAGTGCAACTTCAGCACACAGCACGGGAGAGGAGATCCTCACTCCGTAAGTTCTCCAGCCTCACCTTTCCCTTACTCTAACGTTGCCAGATGGCGCAAACAACTATACGAAATCATGGAGCAGCCCTCAACATCCTCCTCCGCCTTCCTGGTACATTTTCTCTCCAACAGCCTTATAATCCTCTCCGCGTGCCTAACGGTACTTGAGACGCTCCCTGTCTTTCGGCGCGCGCCTACGAGCGTCTGGTTCGGGCTTGAAACGGGGCTAGTGACCGTATTTACAGCCGAGTACTTTGCGAGAGTAGCAGCGCACTCCGAGAGCTGGGGGATGCTTCTCCGATGGGGGACATGTACGCTTTCGTCATTCCTTTCTTCCCTACTTAGCTGACAGCAAACAGCATTTATGGCGATCATCGACTTGCTCGCCATCCTCCCATAGTAAGCTTCTCCACCTGCGCACGAAGTGTAGAATAACCAAACCAGGCCTCCATCGTTCTGAAGCTACATTGAAATCGCCCTGCATGCGGATACGACGTCCATCTTCCGGTGGTCAATCTTGCGCACGTTCCGGCTGTTGAGGATGTTTCGCGCCTTCTCGCATTCAAACACTATATTGCTTACAATTGAGGTTATGTATATCTCAATACAGCGATCGGCTGACGCCCTTCTCGCGCTGAGCTTCTTTGTCGCTATGATCCTCGTGGTGTTCAGCACGCTCTTGTGAGTTACCTCTGTGTCATGAAGCTGGCACGCTCACTCTAAGCAGGTACTTTGCAGAACGCGGCACTTGGGATCCAGCGATCTCCGAGTTCATCTCCGCCGACGGGGGGATCTCAGAATTCTCCTCTATCCCCGCCTCTGCATGGTTCGTCATGACGACCATCACAACAGTAGGGTACGGAGACCTCATACCCCGGTCGGCGATGGGGAGGCTGCTCACTGTTCCCCTGTTGATGTTTGGTCTGCTGGTGGTCGCGCTGCCGAGTTTTGTCCTTGGGAGGAACTTTAGCGCTGTGTGGGAGGGAATGAAGCGTCGCGGTGCTAGGCTCGCAGAACAGACCGCTCAGACCCAGAGAGGGGAAGAAAACGAGCAGGTCGTCGAGCCCCAGACGCCGAATGGCACTGCGCTGTTCGACGAGCACTCTGCGGATCTGGAAGTCCTCCAGTCCGAAGTAAGACGGCTGACAAAGGTCGTCGAGAAGCAGGGAGGGGATTTGGAGCGGTTGATCCTGTTGCTCGAGAGAAGGCATTCGGGAAGCTAAGACTGGACTTTGTGACGGAAGGAAGAAGAGGAGATTTGACTAGATGGATTAATGGGTTGCATGTATACCCACGCAATACATGTTGTATGTTGCTACCGAATCACCGCTTGACCTGCTTAAGCTTGATCGTCTCGTCGTTGATGAATATCCCCTGCACGTCGTCAGCTACCTCCCAACCAAATCAACAGACACTCACCTTGCCATTATACGGCTCTGGCTTCCTCCATTTCTTGATATCCGCCGCGAACTGGCCTATCCTATCCTTGTGCGCGCCCCTGAGCGTAATCTCTGTCGGCCTGACGATCTCAGCAGTGATCCCCTCGGGGATATCGACGACGACATCATGCGAGAACCCGAGCTTCATCCTCAGTCTCTGTCCTCCATTCTCGTTCGGCTCCTGCGCAGCCCTGTACCCCACACCCACTAGGCGCAGGTTCGTCGTGAACCCCTCAGTGACGCCCTTGACCATATTGGCGATCATGGCCCTCGTGAGACCCCAGCGAGCGCGCTGCTCTTTCTTCCGCCCATCGTCGGTGCTCGTCACTCTCGCCGCGTTGGGATCGCTCGCCATATCGATGTAGATGTTGTCGAACAGGCCAAAGGACTGGGTGCCATTAGGACCTGTGACGGTTATTTCGCGTTGGACGTCGAAGGATGATGGAGTGGTGGGAGAGGGGAGAACGGCGATTTTCACGTTTGGGGGGATGGGGACCGGCGTGGAGGCGAGGTGGCCACGCAGACGTGGGAGGAGGGTGGGGTTGATGAAGAGGGATGGTGTAGGTGTTGATGATGAGGCTGCTGCTTTTCTGCTGTTGAGGACGGCGCGGAGGGCCATTTGGACGGTGAGGAGAGGGAAAAGGACGATGAGGACGGAGTAAGGGTCGTTTGACTGAAATAAATTGGTTGTATCCGTCCATTTCCTTTCTCGGCAATTACAAACTCTTCTTTAGGAAATACGCAATTTATCATATGGTGAACTGCTCAGCTGTATGCGTCTATCTCATCAACTTGGACATTACTTTATTATCACTATGTGAGGTGGTATTATGCTATTGACTGTGCTGGCGAATGAATCCCTGTCGACATCCTGCAGTGCTTCCCGGCGGGTAACCCAACCCGGTCAGAGGGCGCATGTTCTCAACTCATTATCAGCTCTCTCTTGACCGTCATCTTCTTTATCCTGTTTGCTCTTGATTGTCATCTAAACTAGACAGTATGGCTATAGAATACCCGGATCTGCTCAACACTTCCATCTTGGAGCTTCAGAAGGGGTTGAACGCTGGACATTGGACAAGCGTGGATCTCATCAAGGTTCGTCGTATTCCATCCATTCCATACCATGCCTGATAATGATAAAGGCATACACCGCTCGAGTAGAAGAAGTAGACCCCGTAATCCACGCAGTGATCGCGCTCAATCCCGACGCCCTCGCCCTCGCAGCATCATGCGATGCCCAACGTGCTTCATCCCCCTCGGCCGCACGCTCTCCGCTCTTCGGCATCCCCCTACTTATCAAGGACAATATAGCTACCAAGAAGATGGATTGCACCGCTGGGAGTCTTGCCCTGGTGGGCGCTAAGACTGCGAGCGACTCCACGGTAGTCAGGAAACTGAAGGAGGCAGGAGCGATCATCTTCGGCCGGGCGAACCTCTCGTGCGTCCCGTATCTCCCCACCTCAGATCCAGCTCTGAGTAGAGCCTGATTATTACAGGGAATGGGCCTACTTCCGCAGTTGGGAGAACTCCTCCGGTTTTTCGGGCGTCAACGGCCAGACCTACTGTGCCTTCCACCCGCAAGGCGACCCATCCGGTTCTTCCTCCGGCAGCGGGGCAGCTATGGCCGTCGGCCTCGCTGCCGCCACAATCGGCTCTGAAACGAGCGGGAGCATCATCTCCCCTTCGACGAGGAACAACTGCGTCGGCATGAAGCCTACTATCGGGCTTGTTTCTCGTACCGGGGTAGTGCCAATCTCCGCGAGCCAGGACAGTGCGGGACCGATGTGCGCGACAGTAGACGACTGCGCCATCATTCTCGATGCCATCGCAGGCCCGGACCCGAAAGACAGTGCTACATCCAAAGCCCCGACAGACCGGCAGCCCGGTGCGTACCTGGCTGCGGCCCTCGACCTAGGGGCAATCAAGCGCGCGCGTATAGGCGTCTCGCACCAGTTCCGCCAGAGCCTCGAGTCGTTCATAAAAGAAGACCTCGATTCTGCCGATCGCCCCAAATTTGGTGAGAAAGTGCCCCCCAGTCCGTATATCTCCAAGACGTTCGACGAGGCGGTGGAGAAGATCCGCGCGCTTGGGGTGGACCTTGTTGAGGTGGAGCTGGAGTGGAACGACGAATTGAGCAAACAGCTGGAGAAGGACGAGTTCCAGGTCCTTATAAGCGAGTTTAAGGTTGATGTGAACGCTTACCTCGGCGAGCTGGAGGAGGTACCTACGGGGTGCAAGACTCTGGAAGATCTGATACAGTTCAATATCGACCATAAGGAGCAGGAGATGCCGGAGAGAAACGCAAAGCAGGATATGTGAGTAGACTCAGCCTCGTACGGCCGATGACTCATCCAGTCTGCAGCTTTGAGAAAGCACTCCTTACGAAAGGACTTGATGAGCCTGTCTACGTCGAAGCGCGCGAGCGCTGCCTCCGTCATTCGACGAAGGAAGGCCTCGATAAGCTCTTCGCCGACAACAAGCTCGACGCAGTCATCACATTTTCTGATAGGTACGTTTCCTTAACCCTCCAAGCACGGGCCAGCTGAAGCTTACCAGCGATGCGAGCCCGGGGAAACTCGTCACTTGGCTCGCGGCTATGTCGGGCTACCCCCTCTGTTGTGTCCCACTCGGATTCTTGCCGGAAGACACAGAGCCGACCAAGGTCCTGCCCCTGCGAAGGGCGGCGAATTTCCCGTTCGGACTGGTTGGTTCTGCTTTATACGGAGCGCGTATTGTGCTAACCACAACATAGATCATGGTTGGCTTACCCTGGACAGAGGCGAAGCTATTCTCATACGCTAAAGCGATTGAAGAAGTTACGCAGGTCCGGAAGGCTGGCAAGCCCTTTGAGGCAGCGATTCCTCGGACGAATCTCAAGAATGTCGTAGAAGTCAGGGCAGCATAGACACTAAGAGAACTAGACACTTTTTTGATAAGGTTAAATGAGACAGATCTAAGGCTAGAAACCTCCCTTGGTATGCTCCTCTTTGCTCGTCCTACTCATCGCTCCCTCTGAAAGAAAGGGTTGACTGATTGAGACCGAACATGAGTATTGTTGTGCAACCCTGATCGCTGCAGAATGTTGCACAGAGGAGTCGAGCACATATTAGCCGAGTCATTCATCGTTGCATTAATTGCATGTGCTACACTATAAATCCGCTAACTACGCCAAGTACGATATAGAGGAAACTATGCGGAAACAGCGGCCAAAAGAGCATCAAAAGAGCGTACGGTATCTTGCTGCAACATCTTCAGTTGGGAGGCTTCTTCTACCCATTCGGATGGAGCAGCCGGTCGCTTGAACTGGAGCGAAGATTCAGCAAGAGATATGAGGAAAAATGGAGCAAACATACACCTAAAGTAGGAAGAATGGGGAGGTATTGGGACAGGTGAACGAGCATCTCGTTCAGACAGACATTTTGAGCCAAGTTTGTATGATCAGAGAGTACGGAAGGGAGCAGATCCAGGAGACGCAACACAGTCTCGCACAGGCGCTCTAGACGAGTCCTCTCCACCGCATCCATCTGTACGTTGGTAACTCGAGCAACGATGAGTGTGTCTAAAGAGAAAGTATCGAGATAATCGAGGAATGCCTAGTTAAAGCCGGTCGGTGGCCAGCTCACTCCAATCAAAAGCGCACGAACCTTTCCTCCATGGGTCGCCCAGTTCGGTACGTGAGCCGGGTCGAAAGCGTTGAAAATGCCTCTCAATAGATCCCAGTCCTTCCGGAGGAAAGCCTCAGGAGCGAGGTAGCGAACAGCAATTTCGTGGGCTTCAATTTGTTTGCCGGTATTAAGCAGCAATTCGTACTCGTCGTATGATCGGGATTCGTAGTGCGCCAGCACCGCCTGCGTTGAATAAGTCTTGAGTTTCTGCCTCGAAAGAGCTCTCACCTTTGCTTCTGCAATCCACGCATCGGGTAATTGCAATTTCTCCACCAGAAACCCTTCTGCTTCAGCCGTAATAAGGGCAGCGTTCCGTGTCAGTAAATCTAGTATGGCTTTCTCTCGGCTGCCTTAGAGTGAATATGGGTGTTCATGACAGAAGGACAGATTCGTACCTTTCTGGCAAGGACAGATGCAAGTAAATCAACGCTGCATACTCCCACAATCCCAGTCGTTCCACCTGCAGGGCATAGCTCAATACCAGACGGTCTAGTGCTTCTGAACGGCCGTCTTCGACATCTTCAAAGGTCCCCACACGCTTGACTTGCGTCAGGAGCATACACATATGCCAGGGGAGCCTATAGTCCAATGGGCTGGTTGTGAACCCCATCGGTGAGAGTACGTCTTCCAAGAGGGAAAGAGAAGTAGGATCTTGTAGTGCTCGAAGGCGGAACATCTCGAACAATGCATCCTTCACAGGTGCCGAAGAGGATATGCTCCATCTGTGCAGCGTCCTTGCAAGGGCTTCTTGCTCCTCGTACCAGGGCAGAGGCTGTGGCATGCCGTCCTCCGCTTCGAAATTGCGGAACACCTCCTCAAAAGGAGTCTCAAATTTTGACCCGTACCAAAAGAAGAGGCCGAAAGCTCGTTTCCAGTCCAATGAGGATGCAATGGGAACATCAGATGTAGACAAAGCCCGATCGGTGATATTGCGGTTGCCCTCAACACGAAGAACTTCTCCGGTCAAGAGAGAATATATTTTGCGGTAGTAGCTGCTGACCTGGGCGTCAACGTGTTCGTCTTTCCAGTTCAGTAATTGTTCTTTCATGGCACCCCGAAATATTGAATCCGCACCCGATGCTTGGGCAAGTAAAGTTGCAAGTCGTAGATCATTAGCGTCCATAGCCCAGTTGCATGCTCGTTCGATTAGATGTCCGGACATCAGTGTAAAGATGGCTTTATCCGCGGTGATTTGATCTTGCATCTCGCTTTCAACGTTGGTGAGAGATGCTCCTTCCAGCCATTCTGATACCGCGTGACGCTGCAGTGTGCTCTGTACAGCATCGGCAACATCATGAGACACGTAGGAGCTCGGGATGTGATCCCATAATGCTTCGCCAAGTCGCCATACGAGTGCTTCATGACTGTGATCTTCAGGTGGGAACAACTGAGAAAACCAGGCAAAGCTGAGCGACGGCTGTGCGATGGCGGTAGGACCGTCTTCGAACATCACAAATTCAGTGTGTTCTATGTGCAGGTCTAACAGTCGCTTTGATTGCTGCTTCTCCTTGCTCTGTTCGCGGAAGTCAGATAATGCAATACGTTGGCATGGACAGCGCACCTCCTCGTCAGCCACAACTGGGACGTGTGTGATCTTTAGGGTGTTAATTCGATCATTGGCAGACCTACCAGTCGGAGAAATAAGCGCCAGCCATCCAGCATCGTAAACAAGGAGCATACTTAGTTTCGGCAGCGCTGGCTAGTTTGCCTAGATGGATGAGCTGTCCTTGCGGACCCCAGCTCACGCGAAAGGATCGCCCCAACATCAACGCCGCGTCGCTGAAAGAACCCTCGTGACCTTTCATCCGTGATGTCGTAGCGAAAGTCGGCACCGGGTGGGGCTCCGGAACACTCTCAGACTCAGGTTCTAGTGGGACAGACTGATATCGAAGATGAGCATGAATTAACAAAAGACCATACAGGCTTAGATCACCTCTGCTCGGGTATAATCATCATCAAAATCCATGTCTTCCTCTCCTCCCAATTCGCGAAGATCTCTCTTCATCTGACTGTCGCGAACTGCCTGCGCAAATGCAAGGGATCGATCATGTTGGAAGTCCCGCACAGGACCTGGTTCGTCATAAGCGCGAAAGAAAGAGGCTTGCATCTGATGGACTTTGCGAGCTTCCAGATTGAGCTTGCTGGGCCATGCTCGGCGTTCCACCAAGGGGGGGCTAACAGTGTTGTCGCTACCCATCGCCTCTTCTTCGTCAATTGGACTGAGTGCCCTCGGGGTATCCATTGAGAGTTTATCTTCAAAAGAAAGTTGTGAGTGATCTTCATCCATCAAGGATGCCTGAGGAGGCTCGTCTTCTTCTTCTTCTCCCTCTTCAATTAGTTGCATCACGATGGACTCGGTTGCCAGTAGCGCTTCCTCTTCCGGAGGTGCAGCAAAACCACGACCATGGGCCGGTGGGAGTGGTGCAGCAATTTCCTCTTCCTCCTCATCCTCATCGTCACCAAGACCATAACGACTGAAGTGCTCGACTCGGAATGTCCAAACACCTTTGTCTGAAAAGTCGACAAAAGTGGTGTCTTGCATTCTACGAAGCTTCGCGATGTGCATTTCCATTTTGCGGGCTTTCATATCAGTGAATGGCTCACTCGTGCCTTTATTCGTGGGGAAGCAATTGTGGAGACTGATCACAGCAGCTACGTTGAGCCCTTCACCTTCGTTCGGTTTTTCATCCTCATTGGGATACACGGTGCACTCCTTGTTATTGAAGACGACAACCTTGCCCGGGATATCGCGAAGGTTCCCAACGGCAGTGAGATCGACTGGATTCACGAATCGTACCTGACCATAGCCATTTCGCCCCACAGTGAAGTTCTCCACATGAGTAAGATCTTGGAAATTAAGCTTGGTCAGCTCGTCAATTGACGGCTTCGTCCAGTACTCGCCGTCACCATCGACTGCTGGGGTGGTGGACTTGCTCTTCTCTGCAGATTTCGCCGGTGAGATAGTTGGCTGTGTGGAGCCACCGTTCACAGGACGTGTGGGGGTTGAAGGTACAGTTACGGATCCCTGGGCACCAGAGGTACCTTGAGCTTCGAGGGTGGCATCAAAAAGAGGCTTGGCAAAGGTAACTTTTTTAGGAGCAGGAGATTCTAGCGCGTCGCCTTCGATCATGAGTTTCTTGGCGCTGGGACGGCTGACAAAGGCACCCGGGCTGAGTATTTTGGTAGTGTCACTGATACCGGCCAAGATCGGATGAGGAGACGAAAACGTGCTCTTGGAGAGGGCAGTGCTGGAATTAAGCGAGTCTGGAGTGCCGGTACGAGATAACGTGAGAGGTGACCCTCCCCCTGCACCGTAGGGACGCAGCTTCATCGGAGAAGCAACCCTGGTGGATGCCATAGAACTTCGGAGGGAATGAAGCAGTGGCGCCTTCTTATTGTCTCGCTCAGGGGAGACGAGAGCGAGTGTGGTTTTGGGGGCGTTCATGACGTCCTGGAAGAATGTGTTGTCGCCGAAATGACTTCCTGAGATCAAACGGCTCGGTTGGGTGGTCACGGATTGTGAGAGACTCCCAAAGAGACCACCAGATGGTGCGGACATGCCTTGTCCGGTTGGAGCCTGAAGAGCATTCGGCTGAGCAATGGACTGAGTGCCGAAGGTGCCGAACGTGGGCTTTGCAGCTTGACCAAAGGCGCCCAAACCACCCTGCTGTGTGGGTGGTAGATTATTGAACAAGCCAGTTGTTTGCTGCTGTTGAGGCTGTGACCCGAAGAGACCCGGGGTAGCCTGCTGGCCTTGTTGGTTTTGACTAAACAAGTTGAACCCCGTAGAAGCGGGTTGCGATGGTTGGCCGAATGCGCTTGTTGTCTGCGTCTGCTGACCTTGAGATGGGAAAAGACTGCTGGCAGGCTGAGTGGGTGCGACGGGCTGACCGAAGAGGCTCGGTTTAGGTGCGGCAGCTGTACTTCCGAAGGAGCCAAACGTGCCTCCGGACGTCCCTGTCTGGGCAGCGGCGCCTGGGAAGGCAAAGGGGCTGGGCCCAGTGCCCGGGGCACCTTGCTGCTGCTGCTGCTGCTGTTGAGGTTGGCCAAACGCAGAGGTGGCAGGCTGTCCAAAAGTCGAAGCGGGCAGACCAAAAGCAGAGGTTGCTTGCTGGGGCTGTTGTCCGAACGCGCTGGTTTGCTGTTGAGGCTGACCAAACGCAGAGGTAGCTGGCTGGCCAAATGTGCTTGCAGCAGGTTGTCCAAAGGCGCTAGTTGCTGGGGCGGGTTGACCGAAAGAGGACGGAGCGGGTTGAGCGGGTTGACCTGAAGCTATAGTTAGGAATGCCGTTGTCAAATCGCGAAGTCATACTGCTCACCAAAGGTGCTGCCGAAAGGTTTCGCAGCACCAAAGTTGCTAAAGGTGTTCGTCTGCGGTTGCGTGCCAAACGCAGACGTACTTGCCGGCTGAGCAAAGGCGTTCTGGGCTGGCTGCCCAAACGCAGAGGTCCCGGCGGCAGGCTGACCAAATGCACTAGTCTGCTGTTGTTGGGGTTGCCCGAACGCATTGGTAGCAGGCTGACCAAATGCGCTTGTGCTGGCTGCCGGTTGGCCAAACGTGTTGGTGGCCTGAGCACCGAAGGCGCTTGTTGATGGCTGACCGAATGCACTAGCTGCAGGCTGACCAAATGCGCTAGTAGTCGCGGGCTGTCCAAAACCGGGAGCGGCTCCGAAACCAGGGGCTGGAACGCCTTTCCGATTCTGGGTATAGTCCATCAGGCGCAATTCCTATGAGCACCAGATTAGACAGATCAGAGGACAGGAGCAAGGAGCACAAACCTCAAAAGAGGCGCCTTTATATGCAGGCATGCAGGTGATCGCATGGTAGGTGTGGGTTACCGGGGTTGTGCCGGTTGTGTCGCGCTCGCTAGTTGTTGCGTACGCTGGAGTCAGCGTGCCTTGTGGGGGCACGTCAGGAGTTGCTGCTGTGACTGTAGGGGCTACCGAAGAAGATTAGGGTTGGTGAGGGACAAGGTGATCAGCGTGATGACTTGCCTCCATAAGCGTTCGTTGCAGCAGGGGCACCGAATGCATTAGTCCGCGGCTGGCCAAATGCACCAAATGCACTAGTTGACGCAGTCCCGAAGGAGCTCGAAGCTACGGACGCATCGTTTGTCCCAGTCACACTTCTAATAAATGACTGAAGCGTACCAGGCTGACCAAATGCGGAGGTGGCAGGTTGGCCGAACGTATTCGTTGTTCCTGCTGCTGGCTGACCGAATAGGTTCCTATTTTGTTGCGGCTGTGCAAATGCACTAGTAATAGCTGGCTGTCCAAAAGCAGAGGTTGCGGGTTGCCCTGTACGCAAGTCAACATCATGTTCGCCACCGGGCCAAACTTGGGGCATACCAAAAGCGCTCGTCTGTTGCTGAGGTTGTCCAAACGCATTCGTCTGCTGCTGTTGGGGCTGCCCAAAAGAGCTCTGCGCCGGTTGGCCGAACGATGATGCTGGTTTCATCGACGTGTCAGCATCAACTGATAACTCTAGGATATATGCGCACCTGCGAAAGCATTCGGCTGTTGTGTAGGTTGCCCAAACGCGTTCGTCGCCTGCTGCTGTTGCTGCGGCTGCTGTTGTGGGGGTTGCTGTCCCCACCCACCCTGCTGCTGTCCTCCAAACATCTTCCCCTAGTAGTCCGAGCGTTACCCAAGACGAGATAGATATCCGCACGTCCACGAAGAGGAGGTCGACGTACAAAGGAAGAATGAGGGACGTGACCTGAACGCGAGGCAAACAGCACCCTCACAAACGGAACCAATTATCAAAGGCCCAAAAAGATGCCTCCGTCTGAGTTTCGCCGCGGGGAAAGTCATTTCTTCAACATATGACTTTCCCACTTTCAACCACGAGCGCTACACTGCTGTCATGTGGTTTTGGTGCGGGTTATGTAGCTCCACTCTATCTATGGCGGCCAGCCAAAGTCGGACCGGGGAAAGATAGGAACCATCCCGACGTGATCAAATCACGTCTCCTGGCGATCACATTCAGTAGCCTCATTGACTGCGGCATTGTTTACTATATCGCATCACGCACTATTGCCGGCGTGAGTCACATGAGCTCCAGCAATCCGCATGCTGAAATTAATTTAAGAACATCTCGTCAACACTTTCCTTACTGGGCTTCCAATGGCCAACCAACTCACGATCCTTCTTGTTGACTCCCGTAATATACGGCGGCACCCTTCTCTCCTGTGCACTCTCGCGCCGGTTCCCACAACATGAGTCACTCCGCAGCTGGACCGGAATACGTAACTATCTCGTGGTATGTCTCCAATCCTCCCCTTGACTCATCCTAAGCACACTTGACAAGGCGCCCATAACGGAAGAGATCGTCTTCCGCTCCTGCTGCCTTGCCTTTGCCGGTCTCGCAGGCCAGTCGCTTGGCTATCAAGTCTGGGTGACTCCGCTATACTTTGGTATTGCCCATCTACACCACGGATGGGAGACGTACAAACAAGGGGGGAAGAGCAGGCGAGCTCTCCAACGGGCAATTACCGCCACTCGTAGGCTTTTGACAACTCTCAACTCCCTCCACGCTGACTCCTCGCAGTCATCCAATTCACCTATACCAGCTTGTTCGGCGCATTTGCATCTTTCCTCACCGTCCGCACGCAATCCATCCTCCCAGCTCTGATCTCACACGTCTTCTGCAATTTTATGGGACTTCCTTCCATGTTCTCAGAGGAGGAAAACCATCCAAAATCAAAATACTGTGCGTTATCTTTACCAACAGAAGCGCGAGACTGACGTTTCTCAGTGCTGTATACCGCGCATCTCGCTGGTATCATCGGTTTTAGTTATCTTCTCTTCCCATGGACAATGTGACCTCGCTTGCACATATACCTACTACGGCATGTTTATCCCACTTCTTGTCATTCTTTAGGCGTCAATAACCGTACGCTGAAACGAGTGCGAATTAAACGTAGTATAGCTACCCGAATTAGGCCAGCACAGGCCCATCTAAAAGTAAACATATGTGGTTGAAATACGAATGAGCGGAACACGATGCAGGAAACAAGCGAGAAGGTATTATGTTTTGACAAAGGGTAGCAGTATGAAGTATATGTGAGAAACCAATACAAACGAAGTGGAGTGGATACAGTTGCTGCGGCAGTGCGCGCGAATGCGAAGGATAAAATAGGAATAAAGGACGTGGTGACAGTGATGAGAATATAACGTCAGACGATGCTTGTAATGTTGCCCACGAATAAGAGAAAGACGATACAGCTTACAGCTTCCCAGCACACCGATCACACACATGACTCTCGTTCCTTACTAACCCTTCCAGCCGTCCAACCTCCGTTCGCAAGCTCTCGACCTCGCCTTCAAGCTGCTCGACACGTCTCGCCCAAGCGCGCTTGCTAGCGCTGATCTGCGCTTGGAGGCTGGCGATCACCTCCTCGGCACTTTGCCTGTCCTTGTGATCGGCGCTGAACGCCCGGCCGGGAGAAGGCCTTAACACGGGGGATGTTGCCGTGCTGGCCGGAGCAGACTTGGGCAACGCCACTCGGGGCAACGTGTCCAGCTCGAGATGCTCGTCCAGCTGCCCAAGCTTGGCAGGCGAAGCGCGCGCGCCGTTGGCTTCCCCTATCAGCCCCGCAAACCCAGCTGAGAACGCCGTGCTAACAGGTCGCAGCGTAAGCGGGGGCGGAGCTGGGGTTCGGGGTGTCTTGAGCACCTCAAGTCCAGCCATGGAGGCTGTCGGTCCGCCCAGGAATTGGCTCAGAGCTGGAGGAGCAGATGCAAGCGGTAACTGCGGTACGAGCCCAGCGGCGGTAGTAGCGACTGCCGGGTCGGAGTTCGTCGCCCGGGAGATGAGGACGTTCACTTCCAGCGGTGGTGAGGGTCGGGCTGCTTGCCTACGCTCGCGTATGCTCTGACCTTGCGCAGACGTCCCAGCTTGCGGAGGGGAAGACTGCGGTGACGAGCCAGAGGAGACGGTCATAGCTGGGCTTGGGAGGGCGAGGTATGCAGGAGGCAGAGCAGGTACGGGGGGCACGCTGCCTTCCCGGTGTACTTCTTTGCTCTCCCTCGCCGTGGGGTTGTTGGGGGAGTTGAACAGCCGGAGGAAGCTCCTCTTGCCTTTCAACACTTTCTCTTTCTCTTTCCCCTGCCCAGCGGCAGCATGAAGGTTCTCGGCACTCCCTTCCCGAGGAGTAGGCAACCTCCCCTCGCGCATCTGCATTTGTCTCGCCTGGTTCAAAGAGATAAGCGTGATCCCTGCCCCTCCCTGCTCAGGCATCGTAGCGCTCCTCCTATCCTCCAAGCTCCTAAGCCTCTCCCTCTCCCTCTCCACCCCTTTGAGGCGGGGACTCTGCGCAGTGAAGGGATGCAAGCTAAGGCTGGGGTTGCTCGCGCTTGTCGGTGTACGGGGGAAATCGGTTTCTAGCGGGGACGGGCTAGGTATGGAGGAAGTGAAGCTTTCCGTACTGGGAGAAGGGAGAGGGAGCGCCTTCGGTGCGGTGGCTGGCTGGGACTGAGCCTGGAATGCATGCCGCAGCCTAGGGAGGGAAAACTTGTGCCCAACACCTTTCTTTGCTGGACCAGTGCTTGTCCCCATCGCAGAGAATACGGGACTCGTCGGCCTGCTGCGTCCACCCTTCCCCTGCTTCGCCGGAGGAGGCACGATGCTTCCCGCAGAATGTGAGCTCCCCGAACTTGCAGTGTGGGCGTTCGCTCCCGCAGCAGGGGACCCGATCAGCCCTAAGCCCTTCAGTTCCGCTCGGTCGCGGTCCTGCGACTCCCCCCTCCGACCCATAGCGAGCTGCACGAGCTTGTGCTTGCCCACTCCGAGGACTACGGGGGGGATGGTGCTCGCCCTCTCCCCAACCCTACTATCCTCGCTCAGCTTCCTTCTCCTCTCTCCCAGCTTCTCCTCCGCCTCGGCTCGCCCTTGGGTGCCGTCATCTTCCTCCCATGGCGCAGGGGAGAGGAAGGTCATCCTCGGCCCTGTGTACGAGAGGTGCGACGTGAGTGGTGCAGCGCTGCTTGAGGAAACAAGCGTCGGAGAAGCAGCAAGCATCCCTGGTGAGGCGGGGGGTGGCCGCTTCTGTTCGGGGGTGACAGTGAAGTGCGTAGGAGAAGGGAGTGTCTTGGAAATAGGTGAGTCTGGGGCGGGTAAACGGTGTGCGGGTCCAGAAGGGAAGGCGACGGTGATAGGTGCAGAAGGTAGGAAGTGAACCTTCTCAACACGGAGGACGCTGTCTCTCGTCCCTTCCCCACCTAGGTCTTCGTCTTCTAGCTCGTCATCTTCTCCATCGGTTTCCGTCTCAGTCTCCTCCTCGAACCACCCACTACCCGAATGGACGATCGTCGTTCTCTCCTCTCTGCGTTCGGGTACAGGTGACAGCTCAGTCTTCTCCGTGTGGACGTAGTCCTCTGGTTCTGCTGTCACAGGTAGCAGGCCGACAAGAGCGCGGGAAGGGGAGTATCTCGACGCAGCAGAAGAGGCAGACAAGGACGCAACAGTACTGCTTGTATCTGGTCTTCTTCCTTGCTGGTGATGGCGGTGATACCGTTGTTCGGGGAACTCGTGATACTGCAATGCAGGGGAGAACTCACCCCTTGAATACATGGAAGGCGTGTCCTCCATCTCTGCACTGACGTCGCTGAAGGTGCTGTCCCTCAGGCCTGGTGCGTGCTGGGAGCGGTGCTGGAGCAGCTGTCGGATGTTGGGTGATGGTGGTTGGTGTATATAGGGAAGGTGGTGGGGGAAGGGAGGGTGTAGTTGTGCCATCTTGCCTTCTGTCACCGGTCGATATTCAGTCAGGTTACGTAAAGCAGTGACCAATAGAAGTACCAAGTGAGCGTTGTCGTTGTTTTTGAGATATTAACGAGAGAAGTTGAATAGACAGCAGTGCCGTTAGTCCTCCTGGCACCTCTAGATACCACCAGAGAGAGATGGGAGGACTAAGCCCGGTCGAGGACAGTCACGATCCGAACGCACAAGAGTACAGTGAGAAGAATGAGAGGAAGGTGAAGGGTTAATGGGAAGGGGTATAGAAGACACGACCCGTTCTGTCAGTCGGGGTTGGTCACACAGAATCTATTTTTTGGCTTCACACAATTTCACTTATGTTCACTTCTTGTCTGCTGCACACCGGTGTGTCATCTCTCTTTTCTCTCGTCGTCGTCCATACATGCACATCCATACATCGACACATCTCCATATCCTCTCCTCTTCTCTCTTTTCTCCCCTCCTCCTCTCAGCCAATCACATCCCTCAGTTCTTCACAGCCACGTCCTGATCCCTGTCCATCATCCACATCCCGCATCGATTACCCCTGCTTCCCTTCCATCCGTGGTTTCTATCAGGTTTCCGAAACCTTCCCTTTCCAAGGGCGCACGATCTTGGGAACAGGAAGCGGCTGGTCGTACCCGTAAGCCGACATGCTGGAAGGGTTGGCGAATACCGAGCGCATGGAATTTTTCCTTCTTCGCAATTCTGTCCTCTTCTCATGACAGCTCTACTTTCTCGGTTGCGAAACGACGATACAACCAGGCGCTGTGCATATCAACCTTGAGATCTCATCTCATTTTACTAGGAAAAACATTACTCTTATCCGGCCATCATTTGATTGCCCTAAATGATCCATTATTGGGACGAATACTGAGAATGTCTCGGGCCCCGATCTCGGACCGAGAACCTTGGCCCTCATTATAAGCAGAATACCGTTCACCCCTTGTTTAGAAACATGTGCGACCATTATTAGCACCCAGATAAACTGCGTGTCAGTGCAAAGGTGTTCAATGCACGCCTCCCATTTCAATCTTAGAACCAGGACCGCGTGGGCTGGCCCGGCCTACAGTCCCTGACCCGGCTTTCACGTGCTTAGAACGCCGTCTAACATGTTTTTCTCACCTCTCATCACGTCTCTAGACGAAGACCACGACCATGGACATCGACAAGGATGTGACTGAGCAATGGATGGCCCTGCATGCTGAGGGTAGAGGTATGGTGGAGGTATGTCTGTCCTGCAAAGCCCAAATCATTCTTACAGGATTCCACATCTATCCAGGATCGTATCATTACAAGTCTGCCAGTGGAGTCTCTCGAGAAGCACTTGGCGATTGTTCATGCCCCTCATGGACGCTTACCAGGATTCTATCGTAAAGAATACCATGCAATGAGGGGTGAAAAGTTCATCAGTCCTAGCACTCGAGACAACTACCGGACACGCCACCTTGCCAAGTGCATGTTCTTCGAACTCGGCCATTGGACATCCCTCAACAAGCTATGGCAAGTCACTCTTGGTACAGTTCACATATAGCATGATAAGTGGATAGATGCTGATGGTCGGATGTTAACAGTTGTTGTTAGAGATTCCTCGATAAACTTTGACTCTGGCCGGTTAATTCTTCTCGTCACTTGCAACCTACACTCCTCCTCTCACGCTGTCTCATTCACTGGCTCTGTTCGAATCTCACTTCAAGACCACATTATGGGGACTCCAACTCACACGTATATACCGAGTCGACAGCTCGGTGGCACGCGACGTACCTTCTCGGAGCCACTTCGACTAGATGAAGTTCATTCTTCTGCAGGTAAGCAAGCTGCACAACTCGGGTGATCAACTCTCAACATTCTTTAGTATTGGAGTATGACCTAGGCATTTACACAACCGACCTGCTCAATCTAGGCGAGTTGCCCCCCCTATGACTCCTCTAAAGAACGGTTTCACTTGCATTTCGACGTCCATGGGTCTATCAGCATCCAACCTCGGCACAACCTCGCTGCGATTGGCAAAGGATTGCAGACTCATCCTGATCTGCCGGTATATATAATGCACGTGGGAAACCTCAGCCTGAGAGATGTTCAGCACCTGTCGTACACCTGTCGAGCCTTGCAAACCAGCCTCAAGACAGAAACGCAACACAGGCTTTGAGCTGCTCTCGCACCCGATTTCCCTTCGACAATTTCCAAGTTTTCGGCTGTACTTTGCGAGAACGAGGCCCTCATCGGGGGCTCAACCATGCTGCACATATTTGTGCCAGGTCCCTGGGTGCCTGTGGATCTCGACATCGTTCTCCCAGAGACTGCAAGCAAGTCATTCGAGGCCTTTCTGTTAAATGAGGGTTATTTGGTCGACCAACAACAATGTCGTACACTCGCACGAACGTATCCTCAATCACCGTTCACCCCTGCTTCTTTCAGATACCAGTGTTTTTCCAAAGGCAAGAAGAAGATCGATCTGTGCTACATCATCGTCGGTTTCACGCCCATCAGTCACATCCTCACGTATCATTCAACTGCAGTCATGAACTGTTACGACGGATATGCTTTCTACTGCCTGTTCCCTGACATGACCTTCGCACACGAGTTTGTGCGCAACAACAGGTACAAGGGTGAAGCCATCAAGCGGGAGTTAGGAGTGGCGAAGCTCGAAGCAAGAGGGTTTAAGGGAAAGCCTGGAGACATCGACTGCTGGTTTCCTGACATTAATGCTCCACCTGGAGAAGGTCCGTCGAGAATCGAACAGCTCCCCTCTGTATGGGCCCAAGCTTTAGACCTGTGAGGGTGTACATGATGGACATACCACCACAAGGTCGATTACCTCTGTTCTTGCTGTTCCCTGCTTCGATATATGCAACGAATGTAATGCATGCATATGAGTCCTTGCCATGTGGTGTCGAAAGCATGGAATATTATGAGCAGCGGATTCCTCCCTCCAAGTCGGAAATATGTTGGTACCTTGCAAGTTCCTCCGCCCAAATCTGTCCCGACGGAGTTGGGCCTAGGTTGAATACCATTGAGGTATGTAAGCTTATTCACTCCGATGTATCGCGGTTCTTAACCATCCATCTAGTTTGGAGACATCTGAGGACTGTAGCCGTATTGCTCAAGCAGCCACTCCCGATGCTTTCGATGCATATTGCCATTTGTACTCAAACACGGCAGAAAGAGACCCAGATATTTCAGTCCGAACTCACCATCCTACAACGGGTTCGCATCGCTGACGAGCCGGACCGGCCCTACAGACGTCCGTATCTACCTTCACGGGGTTATAACGCGTCGCGTCACGTCTCAAAACTTGACTCGACAGCTTCCACCTGTACCATCAAGTGCTCTTTTCAGAACACGAATACAACTTTGCTGGACATGGACCAGGACGTGACGCAGGAATGGATGGAAGTTGCTGAGAGACATGGTGGCACGTTAGCAGTGTGTTCGCCGTCTTCGAATAGATTGGCCTTACTTAACATATATGCAGGACCGTATAACTGCAAAGATGGATTCTATTTCGAAGCACTGGGCAGCTGCAGAATCAGCTCGTGGTCGCTTACCGGAGTTCTACCAAAACAAATATCTTACAAAGAGGGGCGACACGCTCATAAAGCCCAGCACGCGGGACATCTACAAGATTCGCCGTCTCGCAAAATGTATGCTCCATGAAGTTGGACATTGGACATCATCCAATAAATTATGGCAAGCGACCCTGGGTAAGTTCGAAATATGCGCATAATCGAATAAAGTTAGTTGACTTGGAACAGCGGTCGTCAAAGACACGTGCACAAAGTATGAGTATGGACGATTGATTCTTTTTCTTGCTTGTAATCTGCGTTCATCCTCCCACTCTATCTCCTTCACCGGCTTCATTCGGACGTCACTTGAGGATGCGCTCGCGGGGGCGGGTTTTCCGAGTTACAGATATATTCCTAGTCAACAGCTTGGATGCGCCACTCGGAAGGCCTTCCCAGAGTTTATCAAGCTGAATGAAGTTCACTGCGCGACAGGTAAGTGAGCTGGTACCATGCTGATTGTAAATCGCTGAGAGTTTCTCAGTACTAGAGTATGACCTGGGCACATACACGGCCGAGCTAGGCCGGATGGCGCGCCACCAAGCTGCGAGACGGTTCTTTTATTTGCACTTTGACATCCGAGGCTCTATCAATATCAAACCTCGTCGCAACCTCACCGGTATTGGCGCCGGCTTGCAGACAAATGCCGATGTGCTGGCATATATTATGCAAGTGGGAAAACTCAGCCTGAGAGATGTTCAACATCTGTCACACGTGTCGAGGTCTGAGGGCTATCCTCGTGGAGGAAGCAGAGCACAGAGTTCGAGCAGCATTCACCCCTTATTTCCCAACTACCATTCGCGACTTCGCGGCCACACTCCGAGAGACCCAAGCCCTCGTTGGTGGCTCGACCATGCTTCATGTACTGGTATTTGGCCCCTGGAAGCCTGGAGACCTCGATATTGTCCTCCCAGAAAGCTCATGTGAGGCGTTCGAGGGATTTCTGTTTCGTGAGGGATATTCATTCGATCCGGAACGGTCTCGGACGCTTCCCCGCATATATCCGCAGGCAGAGTCAGCTCCGGCCTCTTTCAGGTATCAATGCTTATTGAAAGGCACCAAGAAGATCGATTCGTGCTACATCAGCGAGCCTTTCACTCCTGTCACTCATATTCTCACCTATCATTCAACCGCAGTCATGAACTGCTTCGACGGGTCGGCTGTGTACTGCCTTTTTCCGGACATCACCTTTGCACGCAAGTTTGTGAGGAATAACTTGTACATTGGTCAACCGATAAAATTGGAGCTGGGATTAGCAAAACTCACAGCAAGGGGGTTCACGGAAAAACCTGGAGGCATCGACTGCTGGTTTCCTAATATTGCCCCCCCTGGAGAGGGTCCCTTGAGAATCGAACAGCTTCCATCTGTGTGGGGTCAGGTTTTGCAGTTATGATATTGGACATTGAGGATGTTGCACAACAAAGTCCTGCATAGCCAAGCTCTACCCTTGCTGTTTCACTGTTTCGATGGATGCGACAAATGCAAAATATTAACCATCTCACGAGATGTCCGAAGGGTGAAGTAGGCGGGTTGTATCTGTGGCAAAACCTGCGGGTAAGAAGTGCCGTGACCCGCTTTTCAACGCGTCATAAATTTGACGCGAACGAGACGCGTCATTGTTACGCAGGTTGACAATTGACCATCACCTACCTCTACCTAGCCAACAATGTCTGAGGGACAACGTCGCCTCTGTCCTTGGGAAAAATATGCATCCTCTCAACCTGCTGTTCTTTGTGAGCGCGTATCGCATGTACTCATGGCACGCAGCCTTCAAGCTGGTGTGCAAAGTCTCAGACTTTCGACCGCCATAAGCCCAACTGTTGAGAAAGATGATTACCCACAGACGTCTCTGCTCGAGCTCGGAATAGACAAGACGAGTCTTTCTCATCTGATTTGTCCAGAGTGGCGCCATCGCATGTATTCGAAGGTTGGTAGTTGGTCCACGGCCGATGGGATCTGGACATTCTCTCTTCGTGCGTAGACCATCTGCGTTTCATATGCCGAACATCCGTGATTGTTATTCACAGTGAAGACGTCTTTCTCGAGCAAGAATCCTTTCCAGATGCCTGACTCGCAGCTTTTGCTGCTCATACAATGTTGCACGTCTCCGACCGCATATAAAGCTACCGTGCACGCTGGCGTGACTGTTACGGTGGAAGAGCCATTCCGATACGATGACAATAACATTATAGAACGTTCTTGAGTGCTGAGTATAAATGATGCCGAGCTTCTCGTGTTCGATGAGGAGCATAGTGCTGCAAGTAAGTGATTTTTCTTAAACCAACTGCGAAATGGATATATGGGTGTTGATATGTGCAGTTCAAATTCTTGATGCAACAAGTTACGCGACTTATCTTCAAGCTTTTCAAGCCCAGAACTTCGACTACGCTTTAATGCATATCAATATCCGCGGTGTTGTCCGGCTCAATGCGAGTTCCGATGCCTCCGTAGAGCCCTGCCACCAGCTGGAGAAGATCGGTACACTATTAATGTCGCGGCCTGACCTCGCCAACAATGTCGTCGACGTTGGACTGCTGAGCTTGCGAGATGTGCAACACCTTCGCTGGACCTGTAAATCCCTGCGAGCTTGTCTTCAAGATGAGATACCAGGCAGGCTTTACACTGGGATCGAACGGTATTTCCCCGGTTCATGAAGGACTTCATCGCAGCTCTTCGTAAATATGGAGCTATAGTGGGAAGCTCCTTCATGCTGGCTATTATGAAAGCTGGGGATTGGTGCCCAAGCGATCTTGATATCGTTCTTCCGGACCATACATCTAAACCTTTTGAGACTTTTGTATTGTCGCATGGCTACCTGAAGGATTTCGAGATCCGAGACAGGCACGATAACGATTATCCGAGTAGAAATGCCCCAACAAGACATAGTTTTCGATATGTCTGCTATAGGAATTCCACCAAAAAGATCGACTTGTGCTATATTCACTTCCCAAACCGCCCCGCCTCACATATCCTCACATATCATTCTACCGCCGTGATGAACTTCTTTGACGGGTGGGCGATCTACTGTCTCTTCCCCAACTGGACCTTCGCTGGTCAGTTCGCGAAGAACAAGTACCAAATCTCCCCTTCTCTTCGTACGATTGCCGCCATCAACAAGCTGCGGGCGAGAGGTTTTAGCGAAGTCGCGGGCTCTGTCCAAGAATGGTTTCCTGAGGCTGTATCTCAGGTCGATGGCTTCATTGACCGTAGCAAACTTCGAACGATCTGGCGGCATGAACTGAGCGCATGATGACAAAGGGGATAGGTGCTGAGAGGGAACTGGATGAATGTATCGGAAGGAAAGATGACATGCAAAAGAAGCACTAGCTAGTTTACAACCTCCAATCGTGAAAAACACAAAGAATAGATATCATAGTAATACCTGAACAATCATGAATCTTGTCCAATTGTGACTGAATCTATACTGTCAACGAGTTGTCGCAAGTATGCATTTTCGTGAGCTTTGGCTTGTGCCCGTCCTTCCGTCAGACGCTCAATACCTTTACGAATACTGCTAATATGCACCTGAGTGCGTATCAGTATCATCCATCGTTCCTCAGATTATTCACTCACCTCCAAAGGTATGTGGGTATCTGAACTCGATAATAAAGGGGCCACCATACGGTCTCGAAGAGCTTCCAAATCGGAGGAGAGTTGTTGCAACTGAAAGAGCGTGCCTGTTATATATTTCGCTGCGCGAATGCGATAAACGTCTATGTTGGCAAGCAAAGACCGATGAGAGTTAAAATTGGCGAGTTTTCCTGTGTAAACGCTAGGCAGCTGATACTTTCGTATATCAGACAGTTGCACTTACGCTTGTTTCCTCCTAGAGAAGTCCATAACTCGGCCAGCTGTATGATCACATCAGAATGCATATTTCAAGACAAAAAGGAAATGGCATCTACCAGTTCGGATGTCTTCATATCGACTTGAGCGGCTTCCCTGCTCAGCATCTGATGGATCACTTTCAAGTCTTCCTCCAGCCTGTCAAGAAGCACTACGTCCCCTTCAGCTTCCATAATAAGCCGGACGATATTATCTTCCAGAGCTCCCGTCGCTTGGAACCATAACGTCTCGAGTTGCTTGCGCTGGACCAACGCCTGTTGAGCTGGCGACGCTCCAAAGGGTACCAGCGCTTGAAACACGGACGCAACAGGTCCTATCTCGGGCACCTTGTTTGTCTGTTCAAGAAATCGAAGAACGTAATCATCCATGGCTAGAATACTGTCTACTGTGCCGCCGACACGGGAGCCCAGTCGCTGCAGTTCTCTCCCTGTCGTTTTCGCGGATCCAATAAACGAATCTAGCAAGACGGATAGCCTGTCTTTCGCAACAAGATCACTGACTTTCACCAGATTGGTCCTAAAGTCGGGTGAGTTTTCGTTCTACACTCCCAAAAAAAGGTGCATACAGGTCTCGGATGGCCATCTCTGATCTTTTCAGATCAAGTGCGACAGTTGTGCTGCTCGCAGTTTCGTCCATTATATTTTCAAACCTCGTCTGTATATTTATTAGGTTTGGGAAGTCTGGCTGATGCAAAAGGGGATTAGTCGGAGGGGAATCGTTGCATATCGGAAGTAGGTAAGGCATCAAAGGCATTCCGCATATGTGCATGAGGACAGGGGGGACAAGAACTTCCGTGGCCCGTAGTACCATGATATAAAGGACATAGAGTATAAGAACAATGGACCTGAATGAACAGTCAGCCTAGGGCCTGGGAGTTGATAAACGGACAGACAGGGGCTTCTTCGCTAGGATCACCGCGTGTTTCACAACGTCAAAAATGTAGCTAGACCCAAACCAGATAGCATTCCATAGTGCATCGAGTGCGATATTATCCTTCTTCTGAATGTCCCAAATTCGATGAGTATTGTGAGCTCGGTTGGGTGTGATAGGAGGATCGGGGGTTGAGCTGGCCGTAGTCGTAGGTTCTGCCGTCCGAGATCGAGGACTGTTCTGTAAACCTTGATTGCGCTTCCTTCGGGGCGGCATGATTATCTCAAAGCTTTATTATAATGATACAAACTCCAGAAGCTCAGGCATCTGAGGAATCCTTCCAAAGGGAGAGAGCATTAATGTTTGGGTCTCAATCGAATGAAGTTTGTCGAATGACCTTAGATGTGGATCATTTGCTGACGTCACTGAATTAGCAAAGTGGCTGTGTCTTTCTGGGCGCTTGTCGTGTGGAGCCCGAGGCGCTCTGTCAACCCGTTCCACTTGCCTGCATTCCACCATCTAGTCTAAGCACAAGATGATTTCATGCGGGAGAAGCTTCATTCCCATTCATAACGCGTTCCGGAAACACGGACGTCGGAGTAGGAAGAACAACTGCTATTTCTTGATCATGTATGCAATTTTCAAGACAATCCCCGACTTCATATGGAACCCTTTGAGCTCCGTGGATAAAAGAACTGCGATAATAGAAAAGAGTAGACCTCCCATCATCAACCCCCCTTCAAAATGAAGGCTTTGATTGTTCAAGCTTTGCTGGCAACCTTACCGAGCGGCGTCTTGGCCATAATTCCCAGCACTTCGAACAGAACCTGCAAGAATACATAAGCTCCTCTGTCACCTGACACGTGGAGCTCGTCTTACATCAGCTGCAGCCATAGTGGTAAGTTCGGCGTTCGTGTCATAGGCCGGCGCAACCTCCACAATGTCAGCGCTCACGATGTGTAGTCCATCAAGACCGCGTATGATCGCTCGCAATTCACGAGTCGACCATCCACCAGTCTCAGGGGTTCCCGTCGCAGGAGCGAAGGCCGGGTCAATTGAGTCGATCTGCCCCAATATGTCAACTTGGTCCGCGTACCTCCCTCTTTCTCACCCACATCAATAGAGAGATAAACTGGCTTGTCGCCTACGGTCTCACGGATCTTTGCTACAATGCCGTCGACGCCTTGTGTACATCAGAAACGGGGTAAAAAGATTTCCCAAAGGCATTTACCTAGAGTGTCAATCTCCCTCGCCTCGATCCGCTTGAAACCCGCAGTATCGTCATTCTCATAGTCGGCAGGCCCGGAAAGTGTAGTGCGAATCGCACCGTGCTGTCAAAAAGCAACAAACTAGGATCAAAGTTGTTTGCAAGACTGAAAAAGCAAAAGAAAATGGGCGAAAGGAATGAAACGGGACACTTGCAATTGAACTACCATTATTTATCAATCCTTCTTGGCTGGCCCAGTAGAAGTACGTTCCGTGATTGAGTGCGCCCCCTCCGATGCCTTTACTATCGCTGCCACCTGTAAGCAGGGTCAAGGTTGCGTCGGCCACTGTCATCATGACAACCTCTTACCAAACACGCTCGGTTTCCAAGTGTCCAGATGGCTGTCAAAGTGAATGACACTGATAGCACCATATGCGGAGTAGATAGAGCGCAGCAAGGGCAAGACGATCGTGTGGTCTCCGCCAAGCGTAATGACTCGGGGATGATGTTTGCCGTCGAGGGACAAGGGAATCAGCGGCTGTCCGGTGAGCGAGTCGTTGCCCAGAGGGGAGTAAGGAGTGCGGTGGAGAAGCTCTTTGTGCCCATCCTCGATCTGTTGAATAGCACGGGCGTTATCGTATGGCGTGACAGGAATATCTCCGCAATCGACAACTTTGAGCATCTTGAACGGATTCGTCTCGAGCGGGACATTGTAGCCCCCATACAAAGTAAGACGGCGGGATCCAGCACGAATGCCTAGATGGTGTTCAGCTTGAACACCGCAAGGAAACTCTTCACGCACCCGACGGTCCGAAGCGAGCACCTGGGCGATATGAGGTACCGGTGTCGAAAGGAGCACCGAGGAAAGCGATGTCAAAGTCTGCAGTCTTATCCGTCAGGCACTGAGACCAGGGAAGCCGAGCGAACGTTGTGATGCCAGAGAAAATCGAGTCTGCCGTGACTGAGTTGAGACAGCATGAGCAAGGACTCGCAGAGACTTGGAGTATTGAAGTATTCACCTTCGTTGTCGCCTGGATAGGTCGCTTGATAGGGGAACTTCACATAACCGAGCGGCATCTGGTCCTCAATTTCGTCATGATGAGTGTGTTCGTGATGAACGGCGACCACAAACGTGCTGAGGAGGGAAATGGGTAGGAAGAACTTCATTTTGGTCAAGTGTGGAACAGTTGCCTTTGGTCTGAGGGGACAAGAACGTTGGATTGCTGTCTGCCGCTGGCATTTATGCCTAATGATGATTGCATGCACCGCTGACGAATCCCGACGAAGATATTCATTCCCTTGGGGATCCGGAGACTGAATCCAAACAACGAGGCATGCCCATGTATGAGGGAGCATGAGGTGATCCATCCTCGAAGCGAGAGACCCGACCCAATCCAGCTGTCCTATTGGATGACGGGGGCCTCAGCCGCGCATCCATCATACATTGTATGGAGGAAGCGCTTATCTTCGCGACAAGAGTGCGCTGAAAGAAGGCCATGACGTCCCCAACGAGAGCGGAGAAACTATATCACATCCTGAGACATCTTGCCTCAAGGCGTTTCGGCCGAGCGATGAGATCCATGATACAAATATCAGCAGTGCAGTGTAGGTGTAGGTGTGTCTCTACACGCCAGAACATGACTGTCAACGAACAATCACTTCTCCTCCCAGCGGAGCCCCAAGCTGATTCAGATGAACTTCACAGTGTCTTCGTTGATAATCAATCCCAGACCCAGATTGAGACCACGTTCAAGGGTGAAATCTGGATTGCTTTGAAGATGTCAACCCCAGTAATCCTGGGTAAGAAATCCCTCATGCAGCCCAAGACCGTGCTGATGATGTCAACACGCCCAATAATAATCAGCATATACGCTCCAGAACTCCATGCAGACAGCAGCTGTCCTGATAGTGGGCCGCCTGGGGCCAGCAGAGTTATCGGCAGCAGCATTTGCAATGATGCTTGCAATGGTGACGGTGAGTTGTTTTTGTGGCTGCAAGCTACGAGCGGCGCTTGTGCCCGTTTCCATCGCGACGCGCGCTGACTTTCGGCAACTTCCATTCGAAACAGGGCTGGTGCGTCGCCTTGGGAGGTATGAGTGCTGTTTATCTCACGGCTGGCAGACGCTCTAATCAAGGTTCTGTTAGGCACGACTGCTCTTGACACTCTTGGATCACAGTCGTTCACGGGAAGTAAGGATCCGTCAGACCTGTCGATCCATCTCCAACGTTGCGTCCTCTTGCTGTATCTCTTGCTCATCCCTGTCCTCCTTCTATGGTATTTTGTCCAACCTGTTCTGCTATTCTTGGGTCAAGAAGTGAAGCTCAGCAGCGATGTCCAAGCCTTTTTGCGAGTCTTGATAGCTGGTGCGCCAGGCTACATCGGGTTCGAGAGTGTGAAGAAGTACCTGCAATGTCAAGGTATGATAACACGCGATCTCCTGATATGTGTACATGCGTCATTTGTCACTAGGTATCATGCACGCATCTACCGTGGTCCTGTTGATAATATCACCAGTTAATGTCGCTCTGAATATCTATCTGGTCCACTATACTTCCCTTGGCTTCCTGGGATCTCCCCTCGCTGTGTCCTTCACGTACTGGCTTACTTTCTTTGGGCTGGTCCTATTTTGTATGTTTTCCCGTGCACATCGTAATAATTGTGCTTGGGCCGGATTTCAGCCTCGCCGGGTGCTGCAGCTCCATCCATCCTGGGAATTCTTGCAGCTTGCCCTCCCTGGCATTCTCATGGTTGGTACCGAATGGTAATGTTGATTCCTCCGATCAGCTGCTGAAATGCCCGCTGTAACACAGTGTATAGGTGGGCTTTTGAGATCGTGGCCATCGCAGCGGGAATGTTAGGAGCTCGGCCGCTCGCGGCTCAATCAGTCATTATGACCACGGATCAGGTACTCAATACTGTGCCATTTGGGATTGGTACGCCTTTTGAATTCTTCATTCACTCTCACTTACTCTCAATTCAGGTGTCGCTGCGTCAACCCGGATCGGAAATCTCATCGGTTCTCGCTCCGCTAGTGGAGCTCGCCAAGCCTCTCATGCAATGGCCTTCCTGAGTGTGGTTCTGGGTGGGATAATAATGATTGCGATGTTGGCCACTAGAAATGTCAGTCGTTCGTCTCCTTTCTTTCCATTCTATCCTTATGTGGATGTTGCAGGTGTTTGGCTACTTGTTCAGCGATGATGAAGAGGTTGTCAATCTTGTGTCAAGCATCCTCCCCCTCGTGGCCTCTTTCCAGATTGCAGATGGTTTAGCAGCATCGTGCGGTGGAATTCTCCGTGGTCAAGGTATCAACCTGCACCTGAATGCAATATTTTATATTAACAGCCTATAGGACGTCAGCACCTAGGTGCATTGTTCAATCTCGTCTCGTATTATGTCCTTGCTCTTCCTCTCGGCCTTACCTTGGCCTTCGCGTTCGGGCAAGGCTTGCAGGGTCTGTGGGTTGGTCAAGTAATCGCTCTTTTTCTCGTTGGTTTCAGTGAATACGGGGTTGTTTGGCTAGGGTCAGACTGGGACAAGGAGATCGAAAAGGGTATCGAGAGACTGAAGGGCGAAGAGGTGAGACGGTCAGGTCTTGCCCTGTCCAGCACACCGTGACGAGCGAGGGAGTTTAGAATTATGCACTTCGATACCGTTCATCAGCTGCTGAAACAATTATCATGCAAGAACACAAGCACAGCAAACGACGCAAATGCATATACAATGTATCGACGCCCTCTATCAAATGCTTGGCATCTAAGCCTGATGACGTCGACGTGGCGGTTCTAACAAATATGCTCATCTTCTGCCCGGCAGAACCCTGAACCTTCTTTCGCTTCTATCTTACACAGCTCATCAACCTTTGCACATGATAACCCTTGCTGCTTTGTCTTCTCCCAATCACACGATTCATATGTGCTATGCGTGGATATTGGATGATCGCTTCGCTTCCCAATGGCCCCATATCGCACGGTCCCAGTTGCCTCGGTGATATGCATTCTTATCTGCTTCAATTGTCCCTGCTGGCCGACTGGTGTTGATGACCCTAGACCTCTTCGTGTGGTTGCACCTTATCTCAGGAAGAAGAGAACTGAATGACGATGAGGCTGAATCAGTTCCAAGTGTCGAAATGGAGCTAACATACGCCTGCTAAACGATTCTTGCGCCTGAATCCACAAGCCGATTTCTGTGGGCAATCGACCTTGCTTCGTTACTGTCCTGCCATTCCCTCGTCATGCCTTCTAAAGAGGAAAGAGAGAAGATAGCCCTAGCACTTCAGGACGGAGATGATGTTGTGCTCGCCGAACTGGGCTACAAATCAGAGTTCAAACGGGAGTTCAAGGTGCGCACTGCACGTCTTGGTAACCTTCTGAGCTGATCCAGTGAGCTTGATAGCTTTATGAAGTCGTATTCTTTGCCTTCTCAATTATGGGCGTCATTGCTAGTGTCACCTCCACTTGGTCATTCATGCTGGTTTCAGGTACAGTCTCCCACTTCTTTTTGTAGGGCTTGCCCATGCCCACAGTTTTCATGAGGTGGTCATGTTGGTATGGTCTGGGGATGGATCATCCCGTGGTTCTTCGTCCTTACGATTGCCGCCTGTATGGCCGAGTTAGCTAGTAGTATGCCGTGAGTGCTTTCAATATCACTAGGAGCCATGTCACTAAGATTCTAGGAAGTACGAGCGCGGGGCTGTATTACTTCGCGGCCCGCATGGCACCTGCACATTGGGCACCCCTTGCAAGTTGGATCACCGGATGGGCGAACGTTACAGGCCAGATTACACTTGTATGCTCGATCGACTTTACCTGCGCCCAGATGATAACAACGGCAATATCCGTTGGCTCGGATGGTGCCGTAAACCTCGGAGCTGCGCCTACCTGGGGCATTCTTCTTGCCATCCTCTTCGCACACGGAATTGTTTGCAGTTTGGCTACCCAATTCCTCGCTCGCATTAACGTGTTTTATGTTGTGGTGAATCGTCAGTCCTGTCGTTTCCACATGAATCATTGTTCGAACTAAGTCCGTATAGTTGGCACTTGTCTTGCCGCAATCGTCTGTCTCCTCGTTGGCGCTGGGCCAGAAAACCGTGTTTCCACCGCAGACGCGTGGACTTTATTCGAAAACAACTCCGGATGGACGAACAGTGTGTACGTTGTCCGACGGTGTCCTGTCATCTCACGTTGCTGCAGATGGATGGGCTTTCATGCTCGCTTTTACGGCTCCTATGTGGACATTGACCGGATGTGAGTATCTAACTAGTAACACCTCCAGGTACCAAAGCCCACACTGATGCGTGAATAGACGACTCTGCAGCTCATATCTCAGAGGAAACTTCTGGGGCTTCAAAAGCCGCACCTATTGCGATTCTCGTCTCTGTATTCTGTACGGGCATCATTGGTTGGCTCATCAACATCGCGGCATCCTTTGCAACAACTTCGGTTGCCGAGATCTTGACTACTACTTTACCCTTGCCTCTCGGGCAGCTCTTCCTGAACTGTATAGGCAAACGTGGGATGTTTGCTGTTTGGAGTTTCATTATTATTGTACAGGTATGTGAAAGGTACTACTGAAGCTCATTCTGCTGATCGTATCTTCGAACGCCAGTTTGTAACCGGTGCCGCGCAGGGAGTCGATGCGTCTCGAGTCGTCTTCGCCTTCGCACGTGATAATGCATTGCCTGGTTCTCGTTGGCTGAAACAGATCAACCCGCACACATTCACGCCCATCAATGCTGTATGGTTCGTCATGTTTTGGGCGGGTATTTGTGGACTTCTAGGATTCTCCGCTGCGGCACTTTCCAGTCTGGCAGGGTGAGTTTTGCAGATTCTTTTCCTCACCTTCTCTCAGTCTCTTCATATAGTGCTTCCGTTCTCGGACTGTACCTCAGCTACGCAACCCCGATATTCCTTCGGATCACTTCTGGGCGCAACAAGTTCAAACCAGGTTGGTTTTCGCTGGGAAGTTGGGTGACACCGCTTGGTACTATAGCTGTGTCCTGGGTCACCTTCATATGGATCGTTCTCGTCTTCCCTCCTTCCGAGGCACCTACTGCACCAACAATGAGTATGCGATCACGACTAAGAGTATTAAATACGTGTCTAACTCAAGCTCACAGACTACGCTGTCGTCATCGTAATGGGCGTGGTATTCTTTGCTGGAGGATGGTGGATTATCAGTGCACGTAAATGGTTCACCGGGCCTATTGTCAACGTGAACAAGGAAGAGGTTATTGAAAGAGCACTTAGCCATGCGGAGAAGACTGGGGAGGATATGGAGATCGTCCGAGAGGTCTCAGACAAGTCCGAATGAGAATTAGTTTACGGTCCCGTCTGTGAACCGGAAATTATCACAATTCAAAATTAACGTATCTGTGATACAGGAAGACAGGCAGCAGACGTATTCGGCCCGGTCAATGGAGTGTCGGTCAATAGAGTGCAATTCTCGATTGCTGAACAAAATCTTTGTCGCTCTGTGCCATACCTAAGTTGTACCTCTCTAGCTGGGGAATAGCTTCCCGCGTTTCGTGACGAATGGTTTCTCCGTTCTCTTTGCTTCTCAAGATGAAGGTGGCCGGGAATTTATTTGGGCAGAGTACAACACCCTCGGCGTAGTCGAGCGTGTCGACATCAATGTCACGGCCAGTTGCTTGGTCCACTTTCTTCTTTATGTCGAAAGCCCATAGCAGTCGGGTGATAACGAGAGCCTGTATAATGTGTAGGTGACGTCATCGACTTTCCTGGGGTTGCCACTCACCACACTATTCTTTGCAAGGTGCATCCCTGGACAGACCCGGCGGCCGAACCCAAATGGCCAAATGTTTGCATGGCGGACTGTGGGATCTAACCATCTTTCCGGCATAAACTTCTCTGGATCTGGGAACAGCGCCGGATCGTGGCTTAGCGCCCCTAAATACCCCGCCCATCAGGCTCTATCGGGCTGGTGGGGGGTAGGCTCACAGGTATTGTACAAGACTGTTGCACCGGCAGGGACAAGATAGCCGTCGTACGTCTGATCTTCTGTAGCAGCATGAGGAAATCCTAAGGGATTTATCGGGCGCAACCGTTCCGACTGAAAACAAGTTGAACCTCTGTGTGCAAAACGACTGGAATGTGCTGACCTCTTTGATGATCGCCTGAATATACGGTAGATGTTCCATATCGGAAATTGTTGGAAGTCGGTCGCGTCCCACAGCAATGTCCAACTCAGCATGCGCTTTTGCCAGCACCTCATCTTGACCGACGAGGAGCAGAATCACAGATAACATAGCGGAAGCCGTCTATAACTAGTTAGCACGACTTTCGGGCGGCGCTGACCGGCTCAAACGCACAGTGCCAGCACCAGCCTGCAGCATGATAAGGGGCAGTGTATGCATCATATTCTCCGAAAGCCCAAACTCTTTTGGGTTGTCAAGAATTTGCTCCATGAACGAATTTGTGCCGCCTCCGGTCTCCCTCCTGCGAGAAAGGAGATTGTCCATGAGTTCCGACGTCATCTCCCTCTCCTGGGATTTAATGAGGTCGGTCTGCTTTCGCCAGGATACTAGCCAGTTTGGCATTACGCGCAGGATCGGGACGAAGTCTAGCAATGCGGACACATCGGCAACCAGTTCATTGAGCTTGTCGGTGTCTTCGTAAAACAGAGCAGCAAGCGGACTCTCAAATCTGGGAGCGCGGATTCCATACGACAGTGAGAACATCAGCGAAATTGTAAACCGCTTGATGTTGTTGAAAAAGCTATCGGGATGCAGCATGATGTCATAGAGAAGTTGGCAGGACTCCGACTCCTGGATGGGGATATACGTTTGAGTAGTCGTCTGACTGAGAAACGTGACGAGGACACGGCGCAGCTTGTAGACCTTCGAAGGGACACTTGAGAATATCACCTGGTCATGGTCGTACATATAGTGGTCGAAGAGCCACATCTTGGGACGATTTTGGGTAACACGACTTCCTTTTTCCATGATGGCCTCAACGGCTGCTGGACTGTTGAGTACAATCGTGGTCTTGTGGCCGAGCTTGAGAGAATGGATCTCGCCGTACTCCCTGGCCCAGCCAACCAACCTGGCAGGAGTGGGTGGTCACAATGATGGTAGAACGCAGGATAGCTTACGTATGGAAAGCCTTCTTCGGGGGTATATCACGAAGGTTACCAAGTAAGAAGGTTGTAGGGGGACCAGGCGGGAGATATTTTTCACGCCGGCCGTACATAGCAAGTTTGTAGGCAAGCCATGTCGCAACACCCAAGGCAAGAAAGTCGAAAAGGAAGACAAGTACGCGACCCATCTTGCTGAAGTACCGTGGCAAGTCGGAGTTCCGCAGTGATTTATATCCCGCATGAGGGCGGAGCTCTGAGCAACGCATTAGAACAACACGCGACATCGCTTTCTCAGTTGGTCAAGAGCGTACAAGCGCCATCAGCATCGACAGTCCATGAATTCGGCCTTGCAGTGCTTTCTGAGAAAACGAATACCATCCAATGGCCATAGATCATGATACACACATCGCGTCGGGTGAGAAGAAAAGGGTGCTTCTAGAGCGATTAATAGATCGGACTGAAAGTATTCCAGGATAGATGCAGTATTATGGTAATCTGCAAGAACGTATACGTAAAGTAATTCAGCAATAGGCAAACGGGCGAAAAGAACTGCACTCACTGCTCTCAGCGGTTAGAGCTTCGACCGCTTCGTATTCCCACAATAGGACCAGCAATTCGAGCTGTGCTCTTGATCCCTTCAAATGCTTTGGAAAGTTTAGTATTTCCTTTCAGATATCTCCTTTGTTGTGGTCGCGAAGAATGGAACCCTGTTTATTGGCAAGGCGACCGGATGCAAATGGCAAAATCACATGATTAGCCTAGAAAAGCGCCAATACGGGAGTTCGGAGAAAATCTTCCTACAATGCCCCTCCGGAGGCAATTGCCCTAAATGCCCCTCTTCTTCAGTATTTGCGCGTCGCCTTTGTGGCAGTGACAGGAAACTCATAAATAACAGAGTTTAGGGGTCTTCCAGTAATATTTACATGTGTTGTCAAGAAATTAGAATATATACTCCTAAATAGAGGTGTTATTTAAGGGTTATAATAACAGCAATGTATCGAAATAACTGAGCTAGCTCTTTCATTATGTAATTTTTCGATACTACAACATGCAATACTTGTGGGACCCCTGAACTATCAACTATTTCACTATTTCTTTCTCACTGCCACAATGACGACGCACAAATAAATACGCAGCACATGTGAAGAAGAGGGGCATTTAGGGCAATTGCCTCCGGAAGGGCATTGTAGGAAGATTGTCTCCGCAGAGGGGGCACCGGAGGAAATTACTCGCCAATACGGATCGGCACTGTACATTGATACGCTGGAGGAGACTAGTACTGCCATGCCGTGATTTCTGCTGTACAATCACCGGAGTTCATCAAAAAGAACCCAAGATTTCCTGCCGACGAGCCTCCGCAGCCTTGCCTTGACCACCGTCGTTGAGTTTATTTCAATCGAGGATGATATCGACCCGGCGTTCTCATCAAACTGTTGAGTTCAACCCCGTCCCTGCATTGCCATACGGCTGACTGATCTCCTTGTTGTTCAGCTTGATCTTGAGCTCGTGAGGTTCGTCGATTTGCGTGGCTTGCGTGAGGCGCTGTTTGTTGGTTAGCGAGGGAGCAGAACGAGGGAGAGCCTGAATACTGGGGAACCAGAATCTGGATGCGCACCACAGCGGGACGGGGCTTGCACAGAGTTGTGCGCAAGAGCACTAGCGGGAAGGTGTAAAAACGGACGAGTAGGCGAGTTCCCGCAGGAGAGATGGATCTAGCCTACACTATGCTACGCTCTAGGGGATAGAAACCGTCGGCCATAAAGAATCAGGAACAAGGTACATTCGTTTTAGGGATCGAGTAACGATGTTATTGAATGAGTTATCGAGTCACTACAATGCTGTTCTCATATGCTGAATGTGGTCTTTGTCGCTCTGTTCCAGGCTTCCTTCGTGCATCTCAAGCTGGGGGATAGCTTCGCGCAATTCATGACGGATTGTTTCTGCGCTTTCTCTGCCTCTCAATATGAAGTCCGCTTGGAACTTGTTCGGGCAGAGTACAAGACCCTCAGCATAGTCCAGAGTATCGACTTCAATAGGACACCCAGACATTGGATCAATTTTCTTTTTGATGTCGAAAGCCCACAACAGTCGCGTGATGACAAGAGCCTGCATAATTTGTTCGTGAGAGCCTCCAGAATTTTCTAGGTACGACTCACCACGCTGTTCCTTGCGAGGTGCATTCCCGGACATACCCGGCGGCTGATACCAAATGGCCAAGTATCCGCATGCCTGTCTGCTGGGTCTAACCACCTTTCCGGTGAAAAGTTCTCCGGATCTGTGAACAGCGTCGGATCATGCCCTAGCGCCCCTAGATAAGTCATCAGCCTGTGTAGAGGTAGGAGCTGTCGAAAGCTCACATGTATTGCATAGAACTGTTACACCCGCAGGCACAACATAACCTGCATATGTTTGATCTTCTGTAGCAGCGTGAGGAAAGCCCAATGGATTTGTCGGGCGAAGCCGTTCTGACTGAAAATAATCTCAGCTCGTTGGACAGAACCGACCCGAATTTCCCACCTCTTTGATAATTGCCCGAATATACGGAAGATATTCCATGTCGGAAAGTACTGGGAGTCGATGACGTCCCACAACAGCATCCAGTTCAGCATGAGCCTTTGCCAGTACGTCATCTTGCCCGAGCAGCAGCAGAATCACAGATAACATGGCACACGCCGTCTATTTCGCGTCAGTACTGTGTCCGAACCGAGGCTGTTATCAAAGGCGCACGGTATCAGCACCAGCCTGGAGGATCAGAAGCGGTAGTGTGTGCATCATGTTGTCCGTAAGTCCGAACTCCTTCGAGTTATCAAGAATTTGCTCCATGAAGGAATTGGTGCCAACCTGGCGCGCTTTCCTACGAGAACTGAGCTTCTGCATAAGCTCTGACGTCAGTTGCCTCTCCTGGGCGTTCAGACAGTCGGTCTGTTTCCTCCACGAAACCATCCAGCTTGGCATAACGCGCAAGATCAGAACGAAATCGAGTGACGCTGATCTATCAGCAAGAAGCTCGTTGGTTTTGTCCGCGGCTTCGTAATAGAGAGCGGCAAGGGGTGTATCAATCCTTGATGCGCGAGTCCCATAAGTTAACGAGAACATCAGCGAGATCGTAAACCGCTTGACACCAGTGAAGAATCCGTCGGGCTGGAACATGATATCGTACAGAAGTTGGCAAGATTCTGCGTTCTGTATTGGAAGATAGGACTGAGCGGTCGTTTGATTGAGAAACGTGGCGAAGACACGCCGAAGCTGGTAGACCTTCGACGGCACACTCGAAAATATCAGGTGATCGTGGTCGTACATATAGTGGTCAAAGAGCCACATCTTGGGACGATCTTGGGTAACACGACTTCCTTTTTCCATGATGGCTTCGACGGCTGCGGGGCTGTTGAGTACAATCGTGGTCTTGTGGCCGAGCTTGAGAGAATAGATCTCGCCGTACTCCCTGGCCCAACCAGCGAAACTGAAACGAATGAGCATCATATAAAAGAACTGAGGAGAGCATACTGCTCACGCATGGAACGCCTTCTTGCTAGGTATATCGGGAATGTTTCCAAGCAAGAAGGTGGTGGGAGGACCAGGTGGGAGATTCTTTTCCCGTCGACCGTAGAGAGCAAGTTTGTATGCAAGCCATGCCGCAACACCAAGGGCGAGAATATCGAACAGGTAAATCATTTTTCGTGGGTGCTGATAGCAGGGTGCAACGCCTGAAGTATTATATCCTCGGGATGAGGGGTGCTCCAAGGACGGCTTCGAGAAGTAACATGAGACACTGTTCTGCTGGACGATGCAGAACAATTCATGACAATTCGTGATGACAGTCTGTGTTCCAGCTGATGTCCTTATAGAGTATGCCTACTGGCCGAGAGAATGCCGGTGGTCATATGGAGGAATAGTGAATCCAAAGGCTAGGCTCGAGTTCTCGAAAAGGCAAACTCTTGGCGCTTAGTGGATCCGAATTGTGCATTCTCGGGCATGATGCCATCCTGTAGTCAACTGGAGGGGAATATTAAATGGTAACGAAAGCCTCAAAAGAGTGGGACTTAGGACTATCGGCGGATTCCTCTTCGGAATGGGATATATCACTCCATTGTCTGCAATAGGTAGGTGAATAATTCTCCTTTTTGTTGACGTGTCTATGGTCAAGCTGGCGCAAGAACATGCATCGTTCTTGAATCCATAAGCAAACGCCCCTTCAAAGCCTTGTGTATTGTTACGATGGATTCCACTGCCATAGAAGGATCTGCCTATATTGTGCTTTGGAGTATAAACGTGTGAGGGGGTCAGCCACCACTGTGCTTCTGCCGGTCTGCGGGCCGAACGCTCCGAATGGGTGCGACATTAACCCAGCATGTCTCCGAAATTCAGACCATCACTCTATGCTGACCGATCTCTTAATTCTTCAAGTGGATCTGCTCCAGTAGGAAGTTAAAGTACATATGTATGTGTGCCTTGAGAATAGTAGGAAAAAGTTGAAGTGGGGCTTTATCTTACGAAAATGCATGAAGTCGGTGGATCCAGAAGCACAGGATTGGTGGACGAAGAGAGAATTGGATCATGGACGAAAGAGAGGGAACTTGAACCATAGGAACTTGAGACAACGAGACGCATTTGAAATGAATGTGAGAAAAGAAGCATGCAATGCATACAATCGACCATATGAACGAAAGGATCCCCCGACCGTCTAGTCCACACATGGCACTCAAGGCGGAAAACCGGGAGCGATATCCCGCACATCTACGGGCAACGGAGGAGACATACTTGAAGGCTGAAAACAATGCAGGCCACATGAGACAGCAGGAAGAGAGCGAAAGGAAGACAGAAATGTCCTCGCGAGGGTGCGATGTTGACTTTCCATCCTGAGCATGTCGAAGCATTCTCTAGGCAGCTCGTCATCCAAGTCTGACCCATCCTTCCTCCACCTTCCTTCCCTGGCTATCCGCAAACACGTCCCCCTCATCTCCGTCCCCTGTATACGGCGTCATCTCCGCAGCCCTTTCAAGCCTCTCCTCCTCTTCCTCATCCTGCTCATCCATGAGCCTCTCCTCACCGACCCCTCTGCGACCCCATCCCTCCCCCTCCCGCTCGACGTATCCCCTACTCACACTTCCCCGCTTAAGTCTTTCTACCTCGAGGGAAAGGGCGTTACCGACATGGGAGAGCTTCTCCCCACTCGGATGACGGGTATGCCCCTGTGCAGCAAGGGAGAGCTTCTCCACACCAGAATCAAGCGACTGTTTCGTCTGCGAGAGCAGATGTGAGAGCGAGGGGAGCGCTGCCGGGGGTTGGTAGGGCGGAGGCGGGGGAAGGGAGAGAGACGAGTGCCTGCTCAGGCCGCCCGCGTTCCCGCCTGTACGGCGCGGTCTAGTCCCTGCAGGCATAGGAAGTGACTGGATGCTCTCCGGCCTCCTTCTGGGTGGTGGTGGGAGGACTTCTTTCCTCGCCTGCGACTGGGCAGGCTGATCCCGAAGCGCTCCAAAGCTCCTTGATCGGTTCTTCTGCAAGACATCGCGGATCTCAGCCTCGTCCATGCTCTCCTCTGCGACGTCGTCCACCCCTGCGCCGGAATCTCGAGAAGTCTCAGGAGGAGGGAAGAAGTCGTCGCTCGCCCGACTTCCGTCATCTGTCGTGCTCTCCGGCTGCTCGCGCTCCATCCCCTCCTCTTCGCCAGTTAACACCCTCCTCCCCCTTGTTCCTGGTCTACCACTGCCATTTCCGCTGGGAACAGGCGTAGTCGTCCCCGGTCCTGCCTGGCCCTGCGCCTGAGAAAGAATAACAAGCGGATTGGAACTCCTGATGACTTCCATATGCCTCTTCCGACCAGGGTCACGAGCGTCCACCGCCCTCCTCTCCCTGGCCGCTGCCAGGCTCTCTCTGATAAGGGGAGAAAGGGGCGTCGCAGAGCTAGTAAAGCTCGCCGGTTTGGGAGGTTTGGGAGGGGCAGGTTTCGTCCCCGATGCAGGGGAAAGAGCAGATGGTGGAGCACCGAGCACGGGGGGGAGGGCGAACGCCGCCGACACTTGGATGGGATGGGGTACGGCGGGCGGGGGGGCAGATTTGTGTAAAGGCGTGATAGTGCGTTCTGTACTGACGCTCGCGGCACGCGCGTGGGCCCGCGCAAGCGCAGGCGAACTGCTACTGGGCTGCCTGGGCGGGAGAGGAGGTTTCCCGACCACCGGGATAGGACCAACCGCGGCGGCAGAAATGGACTGCGCATGTACGGGGGAAGCGGAGACGCTCGGTCTTCTCGGTAAGGGCGGGGGCGGGGTGGTCTGCAGTGCTGGAGCAGAGTTGCTCGGCCTGAACGGGTTGGGATGGACGCTTGGTGTGCTGGTGCTTTCACCTGAGATGGGAGTTGCTGGGGGCGGCGGGACGGGATACGGGTGAGAAGCCGATGTGTGGGAACGCGAGTGACCTTGGCTTGGCCGGCGGAAGGGATTAGGGGAATCGCCAAGACTGCGCCTGGGAACTGGGGGTACATCCCCTCCTGGTGAAACTGAGCCATCTGCAGCTCCTCTGGCAGCAAGGGACGGCCGAGGAAGGTCACCCATGCTCTTCCTGCCCCAGCTAGGGGTGCGCTGTGGTGGTGGTAAGATAGGTTTCTCCGGGCTTGGGGCGCGTTTCTTAGGTGAGGGGGCGCGTTTGATGGGAGACATAGCACGGTTGATAGGGGAGATAGCGCGGGAAGCGGATGGGGAGGGAAGTGGGCTGCCAGATGAGATGACGGGCTTGGATAGGAGTGGAGGGGCCCGGCGGGCAGCGAGCGGGGTGGATGTGCTCGCCGCGCGATGGAGTCGAGCGCTGGGTAGAGGGGCGCTAGAAGGAGAAGGTGGGAGTGCGCTACCATGCTTTGGTGGTGGACGGGTGGATTTCGCCTCGATAGGTGGTGGAGCTATCGACGGTCAGCCTCCTCACTAGCAGATAATAGCAAGAGAACGTACTTTGCGCAAATATGAGCTTTTTATCCGCTTCTCTCCCACGCTGGGTGTGAGAGACGAGTCGCAGGACAGCAAAGAACTGCCGCGGTGTGATCGTATCATCCAACGTCGGTTCAGGATTCCATATCGCCAATATCTACGTCTTGTTAGTCGTTTCGTTTCGTATGTCAAGAGCGGTACGCACCTGTTCCACGACGTCGTCCTCTACCGCGTAGGTCCCGGCGAGGTACCGTCTAACCGGCATCGCTCCTACTGACTTTACACCCTCCCATTCTGTGGGTCGGACGGATGTGACGGATGCGAGTGCGCGTGTGTAGTGGTTGAGTTCTGCCTCTGTGAGTGCAGATGGATGTAGTTCAGGTGGTCGTTCCATGACGAACAGAGTCCAATTTGGTGCTCCCAAATGCTCAAGGACGTCGGCGGTTAACTGTAGAGAATGACGATGAGCAGCAGTGATGGAGCCGGCGTGTACCTTCCGATAATCTGAGCCAGCCGTGGGATCACGTTACCCCAGCCCGTGTTCAATCGTCGCGCCTCGTGCAGATCCCTTCAGCAGCTCTGAGGGCGTACAGCACCGGATTAGTCTGAGCGATTCGAAAACAAGCCAAGTAAGTAAACGCAAATATAGCAAGTACGCGGTTGAAATACAAGTTGAGGTGAGCTAAGTCTGTGTTAACCGTGGGGACAGCCTGAGTGCACGGGGCCCAGCAATGACTGATGAATCGGTTCCGAACCCTTAAGTAAGTGTCCGCACTCACCCGCACCGCCGGATTATCCCACACATCTCTTGGGGAGAAAAACACCTGGGAAACACGCGGGGAAGGCGTGATCTGCTTCTTCATTTTGCTTATCGGATTGTATTCATCATCAGGGCAAATTAATCCATCCGTGTCGATATTCCACTCTATCACACTCATGGTCACCGAAGGAAATAATCACTCACACTCATGGATCATATCAATCGGATTCTGGTATGTATCAAGGGGGCATGCATGTGCTGGGTAGTGTTGGGTAGTACAAGTGGAGTGTATAAAAAGAGGCAGCATCATACTACGGGTGCCCAAAAGCGACCGGCTTGCCAGCAAGAGTATGTGCAGGGCCTCAAAGTGGCGACGCTCTACACCCTCCCGAAGTGTCATGATGGCGAGAGCTAGCTCGGCTTCTTCGCCCTCATGAGCCACAGTCGACCCAGCCTTACGGAAGTCGCCGATTTTTTCCGGGCGGTAGAGAAAGGGCAGGACCTCGATCCAAGGCGATTTGGCCGGCAAGTCTTTCTGGACGTCGCTTTCGGGATGTATCTTCACGAAGTCCTGCCACGACTGCCATCGGTTGACCAAAGTTGCGTCAATTAGGATCCCAAGCGCCTTGCGAGCCATGTCGTGGGTGATCCGCAATTTAACTTGAACGCTGGCTCCTCCAGCTGCGAGAAATGTTGAGTCTGGTACAAACATGGCAGAATAAGAAGACTTACTTTGCGCACACGAGCCTGCAGTTGACTGATTTGCAGTCTCGTCTCTTCCTGGGCCCGCTCGTGCTTTTTCGCATCCGCCTCTCTCTCTCGTTGGAGGTTGGCGACTATCTGCAGAAATCGAGCTTCTGTGGCCGCCAGCTCACTCCGAAAGTCTGGAGATGTATTGGCTTGTTCGTCGCCTCTCTGGCGAGCCGTATTGGAGGATGAAGCTGTTGGGTTGACACACAACAGCGGTGAGAGGTTGCTGGCTCGGTTCCGCCTGGAAGTGACTCACCTTCAACAACTCTTGCTTCTTCTTCCGCGATAAGCTCGTTTTCAAGGACACGGGCATGTTCTTCGCGCAACGGGGTCATGAGGTGTGAGTTGACTCCCACTATCAGTATCGCAGAACTCCGACCCCCATCGTCCATCTCAGCAAGCTGTGTGTTCTCGTCAACGTTCTGAACTGTTGCAGAACATGAGATTGTATCGGAGAGAAGAGAGAGATCTGGAGCCTTTACGTTAGACTACGCGTAGGCGAAGATTCTTTTCAACCTTCTCTCGGTATTCAGCATCAGTTTCCTTGTCGGGATCAATCTGGTCAGATCTGGTCTCGTCTGTATTGCTCTGGTCGGCCTTGCTGGCATTGGTCTTTCCGATCTTGTTCTTTCCGGGCTTGGTCTTTCCAGATTTGGGTTTAGTCGTGTCAGGAGTGGCCTTGTTGGACTGAGGCTTGGGGCCAAGAATATCGATCCCTGTTTGCTGACGGACAAGAACGCGGGCAGCGGCCATCGCATGCGATCCAGCCATACCGATTGTGTGTTCGGGGTCGCATCCGATCCTCCCGGCGTTTATACCGTCAACATAGTACACAGGAACATTGATTTTAGACGATTGAGCAGTCATGGTGGTGGTTGAATGCTGAGTGTGCGTGGCGGTGACACACTCCTGTCGCGCGGCGTGAATGTGTTTTTTGGTTCCGTTCGAGTCATCTTCGAATTCGATGAACAATGTAGTTTCATTTCTCTTTTAGTTTGTTTTGTGCTCTGTTCGTATTTCTACCAGCCAGCTACATGCATTAGTCCCCTTGTTTCTATTGAACACCCCCGACCCTTTTCAATGAAACATGTAATCCAATTCCTGCTCATCAGCTGAAAGCCGATAACTTGATAATCCCCGTCTGTTGAATCACCACAAGTCCCGGCGAGGTACCGTCTAACCGGCATCGCTCCTACTGACTTTACACCCTCCCATTCTGTGGGTCGAACGGATGCGACGGATGCGAGTGCGCGTGTGTAGTGGTTGAGTTCTGCCTCTGTGAGTGCAGATGGATGTAGTTCAGGTGGTCGTTCCATGACGAACAGAGTCCAATTTGGTGCTCCCAAATGCTCAAGGACGTCGGCGGTTAACTGTAGAGAATGACGATGAGCAGCAGTGATGGAGCCGGCGTGTACCTTCCGATAATCTGAGCCAGCCGTGGGATCACGTTACCCCAGCCCGTGTTCAATCGTCGCGCCTTGTGCAGATCCTTTCAGCAGCTCTGAGGGCGTACAGCACCGGATTAGTCTGAGCGATTCGAAAATAAGCCAAGTAAGTAAACATAAATATAGGACGTAAGCGCTCGAAATACAAGTTGAGCTGAGCTAAGTCTGTGTTCCTGGTAATCTACGCATACGGTATGCGCTGGGTAGTGTTGGATGGCAGTACAAATGCAGTGTATGGAACGAGGCAGCAATGTCCTACATCAGCGTGAGGTCGGGTTCCTTGCCATGCAAGAGGTGGTGCACGGCCGCAAAGTTCCGACGCTCTGCACCATCCGGAAGTGTCATGATAGCGCGAGCTAGTTCGGCTTCTTCGCTCTGGCGGGCCGCAATCGACCCAGCCTTACGGAAGTCGCCGAATTTTTCCGGGCGATATAAGAAGGGCAGGACCTCAATCCAAGGCGACTTGGGCGGCAAGGCTTTGTGAACGTCGCTTTCGGGATATGCATCCACGAAGTCCTGCCATGACTGCCATCGGTTGTGCGAAGTTGGGTCGATTAGGACGGCCAGCGCCTTGCGACCCATATCGTGTGTGATCCGCAAATTCAAGTTGAACGCTTGCTCCTCTCGCACCTCCAGCTGCGAGGGATGTTGAGTCTGGTGCATGAATGGCAGAAGAGAACTCACTTTCCGCACATGGGCCTGCAGTTGACTGATTTGCAGTTCCGTCTCTTTCTGCTTTTTCGCAACCGCCTCGATCTCCTGCTGGTGCCTTTCCATGTCTGCCTCTCTCTCCCGTTTGTGCCTTTCCATGTCTGCCTTTCTCTCCCGTTTGTGCCTTTCCATACCCGCCTCTATCTCTCCTTTGAAGTCGGCAATCATCTGCAGAAATCGAGCTTCCACGGCCGCCAGCTCACTCCGAAAGTCTGGAGGTGTACTGGCTTGTTCGTCGCCTATCTGGCCGTCTGTATTGGGGGATGAAGCTGTACGCAACAGCAGTGAGATGTTACTGGCTTTTTCCCGCCTGGAAGTGACTCACCTCCAACAACCTCGCCCTGGCTCTCGGTGATAACTTCTTCTTGAAGGACACGTGAATGTTCCTCGCGCAACGGGCTCGTGAGATGTGAGTTGATTCCCAGTACCACTAGTCCTGTTCCCCTCCCCCCCTCAGGCATATCAACCAGCTGCGTGTTTTCATCGACCTCGCGAACTGTGGTAGTGCGTCAGATTGAACTAGGGAGAAGAGAGATCTGGAGCGCTTACTTTGGAACAAGCGCAAGCGGAGATTGCTGTTAACCTTGTCTTGATATTCCTCATCAGTCTCCTTGTCGGGATGAACCTTGCCAGGTTTGGTCTTGTCTGGATTGCCCTGGTCGGGTTTGCTCTTGTTCTTGTTAGTATTGGTCTTGCCGGACTTCCTCTTACTAGGTTTGGGCGTAGTCTTGTCAGGAGTGGCCTTGTCGGGCTTGGGCTTGGGACCCAATATATCGATGCCAGTTTCCCTGTTAACAAGGGCGCGTGCAGCAGCCATCGCATGCGATCCAACCATGCTCATAGTGTCTCCGGGTTCGCATAAAATCGTTCCCGCGACGGCATCGTCTACATAGTAAACAGGAACACGGATTTTAGACGATGGAGCAGTCATGGTGGTCGTCGGATGGTGACATACGCAGCGTTGATTTTTTTGGTCCCGTTCGAGTCATCTTATACGTACTTTCCTCTCTCTCTTTTTTAGTACGCCCCACTCTATTTGTCTTTCAACCGGCTACCTACATGCATTTGTCCCCTTAATAAAATTCGGAGTAGTCGACTTTGGAGGAGAGTTCATTGTGCGCGGTATGAAGCAGCTACCTTGAAATAGTGCCTCGGAGGGGGACTTGCCCTGAGGTCAGAGGCTTGAGTTAGTCCGTTCTCTCTTGCGACCTGCTTCGAGGTGATTCCCGCAGACGTCCGTGTTGATGACACAAGTTCATTTCACGTTCATACTGCGTAATACAACAATCGGACTGATCTGGCTCATACGTTACGCCACAGGCGCCGTCGGAGCCTGCGCAAGTGTACGCTTCCTGTACTCCCAGAACCTCCCATCTAAGTCAGCACAAGTGTAGGTGCAACAGAGGAAGCACCCACTGCTTTCTGATAGGGTCACGCTCTACCAGCTCGTCAAACAGCTTGTTCGCTTCCTCAACCTCCCCCTTCTCCCCCAGTGCATCCGCTATGAACTCGAGAGCCATCACACATGGCAACTGGGCATTCTCGCCCGGCAGGAGCTCCCGTTCTTCTGCCTCAGCGAAAACCCGCAGCGAGGGCTGAAGGGACTGGGGAAGGGTGTAAGGCCGCGCGAAGGGGAGGAGAGTGGAGAGCGGGGTTTTGGAATTTGAGAGAAGACCGCGGAGGTAGTTCCATGCCGAGGCGTTGTTAGGCGCTAAAGCAATCTTGTGTTCCGTATAGCTGTGATATGTGAGTTTGAGTCACGGCCAGATATGATTGGGAAAGGTCCAGGGGGAGGGACGCACTCAATCTCGCTTTGGACCAGCTCTGGTGACGGCCTCGCACGTGGTCCTTCGAACAGAACGAAGAACCGGTGGTGCCAGACTGAGTTGTTCCTCACGTCATCTTCCAGCATTCGATCCGTGAACGCGACTTCCTCTCGCCATACCTCGTCATCCACCCAGCCCTCGTCGTCCAGGTCTTCGATAGTGGGCTCCTCGCCCTCGGTAGGGGAGATAGTGGTGGACGTCACAAACGGCATGGGAGCGAAGAAGTTGCATAAAAGCCACTCGCGATACACCCAAGTATGGTAGTTCTTCGCGTCCTTTGCGAGTGCGATCTCCGCGAACGCGAGCTCGGAGCGAGCGGACTTCTTCCCCAGCTGGAGGAGGAGCAGTCGGCGGTGATTCCATGCTTGGTAGGATTTGAGGTGGGTGGGGAGGAGCTTGGAGAGAAGGTGAAGCTCTTCGGTCAGGGGGGAATTGAGTGCAATCAGGGTGCGGTAACGGTATTGCCAGACGGTATAGTGCGAGGCGTTCTGTTTGATGATCTCCAGCGTCAAGTCCAGGACGCGCTGGGAATGCTCTTGCGATACATAGATAGCACGGAAGTATGAGGTCGCATCTTTGTCTAATGTTGCTATTAGTTGTGATTACAGGATGGGGCCTACGAAACGTACACTTGTCGTTATACATGATGGGCGCTAATGGCGGGGAAGGCCCATCATCCTGCGGAACAGCGGTTACGTCGCTCCATTCTGGCCTGTCCTTGAATAAGATATAAGGGGGTTCAGGATTCAAGAACTCCATATGCAATGCAATAACGGTCGTTGAGGTCGTAGAAAGAGAAATAGAGTCGTGACCGTCGAGAGGATTAGTAGTACAAAAGGGAGTTGCAGTGCATTATCGACATTCCAGTGTTTCCCTGAATTAGGGTTAACAGGGTTACCTAATACGTTATTTTGATTCCGTGGCTTCTGAGGGTCCGTGCGGGGCAAGTCACGCTTTCATGGAAAGAGATGCTTCCGTGGGATCATTGATTCCTTCATTCGACGTTTCTGTTCATTTGTCACTACTCTGTTCTGCTCGTCGACCATCTCAGCTTCGAGCAATACAGGACAAGATATGGATACCGATATGAAAACTGAGGTGCTGTCCCCCGCGGACAAGAAGGACGAGAACGGCAATGGCATCGGACGAGAGAGCAACGGGAGCAGGGAAAAGGACCGCGAGAGGAGCAGGAGCAGGTCTCGCGATCGCCGTGACAGGGATTGTGAGCCATTATATCCCCTCTGTGCCGGGCAAGGTGATTGATGTCGTTGGGGCACATAGCCGGAAGATCTCGCCGTCGTTCGGATCACTGGGAGCCCGACCGTCGTCGCCGTCGTTCGCGTTCAAGGGATGCCTCGCCGCGTGACCGCTCGCGTTCGAGGGACCGTTCGCGCGACCGTCGTCGTCGCAGGCGCTCTACCAGCTCACCTTCACCGCGCCGCAGTCGCTCTCGCTCTCCCGCTCGGCGGGGGCAGACCAAGTCTCTGGGCGGCCCGCTGAACGCCCCGCACGAGGAGGCCGTCGCCTTTGGCCAGATCTCGAAGAGGGAGAACAGGCTCTATGTCGGCAACTTGAGCTACGACTGTACATATCGGGACTTGCTCGAGTTTATGAGGGGAGGTGGGTCGCAGGTCGTTATGGTTATCCCTAGAAGTAGCTGTGGTTTGGGTGGCTTTGGCTTTTCATCCGAGAGGAGAGTTGTCGCGTCGAGGCTGAGGCTAAAGGCTGGCTGAAGAGGCGCAAGGTCGAGATGACATTCAGAGACGCGGGATTTCCGCCACCATGAGATGCTTGAGGAACCGCCTCGCAGTCTTTCAATCCGCTTCGTTCTTCTATCGTTCGGGAGTTTGGTGCCTCGATGGGGGTTTTGGTGCGGGGTTGCGCGGGGTTTTGGTTTCGGTATCCGAGACGCGTGGACAGAGATGTTGACATGGGATTTGGAATAGCTGGCGAGGTCCTGTTCGCAGAGGTATTGGTGACGCCTACCGGGGTTTCGAAAGGTTGCGGGTAAGCTTTGCTGTTTCCTTGTTTGTATTTTCCTCTGACGCGCCCTTTTCAAGTATTGTCGAATATGCCAATTCGGACGACGCTCAAAAAGCGATTCGCGAGCTTGGTGATCAGCCGCTGCTCGGCAGGCCCATCTTTATCCGCGAGGTATAGTTTCCGTCTGACGCATTGGTATCATTCTCATCACGTGTAGGATCGTGAAGAAGCCTCTCGATTTGGTGCCACCCCTGTCCCAGGCAAAGTCGGCATGGCCATGGCAGGCATGGGCATGAACGCGACCGTACCTCCTCCGAGGCCTTCTTGGCACGGCGGTGGGTACCCTGGTGGAGCGGGTGGCGCAGGTGGAGGCGGGGGAGCCGGCGGACCAGGCAACCAGCTCTACGTTGGAAACGTACGTTTCAATGATCGCAAATGAACTACATGCTAATATGACTCTATGTAGCTGCCATACCAAGCTGGATGGCAGGATCTCAAGGACCTCTTCCGCCAGGCTGGAAATATCATCAGGGCCGACATCAACTTCGGCGCTGATGGTCGTCCTAAGGGCAGTGGAGTCGTGATCTACGAAACAGCTGCGGATGCGCAGGCCGCTATCAGTATGCCTTATCCCGTGCATATACTATCTGAAGCTCACTGAGCGATCAGGCATGTTCAGCGGCTATGACTGGTATGGTCGTCAGCTCGAAGTTCGGGAGGACCGTTTCGCGGCCCTGGCTGGCTCCCGTGGTGGGCATGGGGGTGGGTCTGGCGGGTTCCGAGGTGGCCGCGGTGGTTTCGGTGGCGGCGGCTTCCGAGGCGGCTTCGGCGGAGGGTTCCGCGGTGGTTTCGGCGGCGGGCGAGGCGGATTCGGTGGCCCTGGTGGTGGAGGGAGGCAGTTTGACCAGAACCTATATGCGGACTACTCTGGCCCTGACCAGGCGGCGCCCGCCCCTGGTGGTGGTGGGGCCATGGGCAATGGCTTTGCTGGTGGGTACGGTCCGCAACCAGGCTTTGCAGGCGGGTTTGGCGACCAAGGGGGACAGCCAAACCAGCAGATTATGGTTCGCAACGTGAGCATTATCCGACTCTGGTTGTTCGCAGCTGACGTGGTGCAGTTGCCCTGGAGCACCGCGAACGAAGACCTTGTGGAGTTGTTTGAGACGACCGGTCAAGTAGAGCTCGCGGAGATCCTGTACGAAGGCACGCGCTCCAAAGGCGCCGGCGTGGTTCAGTTCGCCGATACCCAGGAGGCGGAGACGGCGATTGCCAAGTTCTCGCAGTACATGTATGGCGGGCGCCCTTTGGGTGTGTCTGTTCTGTTTTGTGTTGTGTCAGGAACTGACTGGGGCAAGATGTACGCTTCAATGACAGGTGGCACAACTTTTCCGCTACGGCGGCAAAGGGAGGGCAAGTCATGCCTCCGGTGTAGTCGGTTCGTGAGCAGATCTCGTCCTTGATACGGCCTGCTGGTTTCCCTGACAGGCCAGATATGAGTCTATCATCTATCTTTCCGCCCCTCTTTGACAGTGTACGTTGGTGATTCTAGCTAGTGACAGGAAATGGGATGCGATTTCAGGACGTGAGCACCACAGCACAAGACTATGCAGAGCATTAGGGTGGTGGAAAGCAATTTCAGAACGAGTTGAGGTCTATGACTCGTGTAGAGAGGAGCATCGTGGCAGGATGACTCCCATTATTTAATCCGGTTTTCGGACGGGAGCAAAAAAAAAGATCCGCAAGCATGCACAGGAGGCGTGCCGCTGGAGCGTTGCTTTGCTCACCGCACACTTTTGTCGACCACCATCACATCATGCCTGCGAGAAAGTCACGCAATCCACCTAAGAAAGAAAGTGTCGTCAAGGAGGAAGCTGTGAAGGAGGAAGCTGCGAAGGAGGAAGTTGTCGAGAAGGAAGCTGTCAAGACGAAACCTGGTCCGAACGAAGTTGCTCTGCCCGTCATTTATACAGACAACCTCACCCACGACATTTTCCTTGATCGCGGCTACACTGTCACGCAGGCCAGGAGTTATGCGATTTTCTCTGCGCGTGAACACGTCCTAAAGGAGACCAAAGTGGATATTCTGAATAAGGAGCACCCTTGGCTTCCTCCGCCGAAAGTGGAGAGCCGCGCCGAAGTTTTTAAGAAGGTGAATGAGAATATCGTCGCCACCCTCGTTTACCGTGAGTGCTCCGGCCCTCGACTCTGTTCTAATCTGATGTTCCGTCATAGGCAAAACCACACTCGACGACACGGAGATTGGCAATCTGCCGAGCGATGAGCAACCAGCAATTTTGGTTCACGGAAAGGAGCACCCTGTGACTCTCACATTGAAAAGTGAACGTGCCAAAGCCCTTGGAGCTGAACTTGATGCCGAAAAAAGTGGGTAACACTTCAGTTAAAACCAAAATTGGCAATCTCTTATTCCTACCCTGTGCCAGAGGCGTCATCCTCTGAGAAGGCTACCGAGCCAACCAAAAAACAAGCCAACGACGCCCCAGCCGATAAGAGTGACATGGCGACACTCCAGGCTCAGTTTCGGATGGTCCTTGATGTGTGCCAAAAATCTGAAGAACGGATTCGAGGCCTTGAGAACACGATTGATGAGCTGAAGGCAGACAACGCGCAGCTGAAGGCAGACAACGCGCAGCTGAAGGCAGACAACGCGCAGCTGAAGGCAGACAACATGCAGCTGAAGGCAGACAACAAACGCATGGACAGTGCTATTGCTCAACTGCAAACGCGGCTGCAAGACGTGGGTTTCCCTCTCATGTTACTGTTGCACTAGATTGATGGCCCCAATACAGGTGGAGGGACCCCTCTCCAGGTTGAGTTTGCGAATCACCCACGACATGGCTCGTAAAAAGTTGGCCTTCTTGCTGGATCCAACGCTCAACGAGAGCACGTGGTCGGGCTTCTCATGGAGCGACTTCGTTACTAAATTTCCTATGGAGAAGGCCCGGGCAGCCTTGAGCAACGACTCACCTTGGCTCAAAGATGCTCAGATTCTCCCCCTTCTGTATTTGCCAGACAAGTACAAATCTTTCCGCAGTGCTGGGTCGAGGGTGGCCCACGAGGCCGAAGAACCCGAGCTGGCGCTTGCGATTCTGCGTCTCCCTGACAAACCGCAACGTCGGGCTTTCCTAAGCCTCCACGAAATCGTTCACGGCAAGCCAGCCGATTTCCCGCGTACCTAGTACATCACTGCCTTTTCCCCATGCCTCGTATCCTTGTATCACATCCATGCCGTCCCACGTCCACACTGTACAGTTAGTTACCATCAATCTCATCACGAGACTGAGCATCAGCGAGTATTTCCATGAGTGCGCCCGTTCACCTGCACCCAGCAGGCGTAAACGCCGATCGCCAAGTTCTGGCAGTGCATGTAAGGCAGGCGTCTGTTCGCTGTCGAAGGGGGGCAAGTCATACCTCCCGTGTTCAATGTTAGTCTG